GCGGGGTCTGCAGCAATTCATCTACTATTTTTTCATAAGCATTATCGCTCTTGTCTGCCAGGAACTTATCCATCATTTCAATGGAAGGGGGCAGGCCTGTAATATCAAACGACGCTCTTTTCAGCAAACGTTCTTTGTCTGCTGCTTCATTGGGTGCAAGATTGATCTGCTCCAGTTTGTTCAGTACAAAATTATCAATTTCGTTTTTAGGCCAGGTTTTATCATTTACGCCGGGTACAGCAGATTTTTTAGGTGCGGTAAAAGCCCAGTGTGTTTCATAACGGGCACCCTGCTTTATCCATTTCTCAAAAAGGCTTACTTCATATTTGCTCAATACACCCAGGTGCGCTTCTACCGGTGGCATCATGAAGGAAGTGTCTTCCGAAGCAATTCTTTTGTAGAGTTCAGAAAGTTCCGGCTTGCCGGGCACAATGGCAAAAGCACCTTTGGTTTCCTTCAGTGGTGCAAATGCACTGTCAGCAATATCTAGGCGCAGGCCGGCCTCACGCTTATTGGCATCCGGACCATGGCATTTAAAACATTTGTCTGAGAGAACAGGTCGTATCTGGAAGTTATAGCTGACTACATCCGGCAAGGAATGCCCTTCACTTTTATCCTTGTTATTAAAACAGGAAACAAAGGCGGCAATCGTTACAAACAAGAAAATGGCAATGCTGGCAATCCTGTATTTCATATCGTTTCTAAGGTACTAAAGTTACTAAAAAAGAACCCTTATTAGTCATCTGATTTTCAGCTATCTGTGCTTTAAAAAGTAAAAGGGCGGCTGTATGAGCCGCCCTTAAGGTCTAAATATTTATTTTTCAGCTTATTGCTTAATCAGCTTTATTGTCTTGTTAAATGAGCCTTGCTTTATATTTAATAAGTATACTCCTGGCTTAAACGCGGCAGCATCTATTGGTACGATTCCTTTTGCCTGGCCGCTGGTTTTTTCCATCAACTTTCTGCCATCAATACTGAACAGCTGCAGGTGCACGGGTTGTTGATCTGCCAGTGCCAGGTAGAGCCTGAAGATACCATTGGCGGAAGGATTAGGAAAAACATCGGCCATCATTGGCTTTGCGTTACCAGGTTCGGCAACGGTTTCCATTATTCTTTCTGTGCCGCCGGCGCAAAGCGCATTGCTGCTGTTTTCTACATCCAGTCTTGTAAAGCCGAAATTATCATCCCAGCTAAGGACGACAATATTGGGTAACTGGTAATTTCCATAGCTGCTGACTGCAGACGTAAAAATGGTTTCGCCGGGAAGTGCCGTAATTGCTGCCTGCTGATTTGAACCCAGCAGCATCCATTTCGCCTCCACCTCAAAAGCATTGGGATTGATAATTTTCCACTGGCGGGTAACAGACGGATTGTCTGAACAAACAGCTTTCAACACCAGGTTTTTGATGTACAAATTAGGGAACTTAACATCACCTACTGCGGCATCTGCTTTTATTAACCCGTAGCCGGTGCTGAAATCAAATCCTTTATCAAAACCGGGCGTGTATGCGTTGTCCATATCTACCGTATTGGAAGACAAAACCGCTTTAATCTGCGAAGGTGTAAGGTTGTTTAGCTTTTCCGCATCAATCATTAAGGCCGCCACGGCAGCGGCATGCGGCGCGGCTGCGGAAGTGCCAAAAAAATTGGGCGCGGTATCGGCATCCTGCAGAATATCCCCATTGCCAAAAGGCGCAAAAAAGGAAGTGTTGGCGCCATCAGGGGCAGTAATTTCCGGCTTATTTCTTACCAGGGCCGGTATCCTGTTGCCCGCATAGTCAAAATAATTGGCAACGCCCCCCAGTGAAGAAAACCATTCTGCCCTGGGCGTATCAAGTCCATAGGCTGGCGTATTACCATAAAATGCGGCGGCGGTGGCAATAGCACCGGCAGCTTTTGCATGGCCCACCAATGTTGGCGCCAATATGCCTGGTATTGCAGGGTTGGTAAGGTAAAACTGGCCATCGCCATAGAGATTGTATTTCAGGCGGGTCACATCCGGACCAGCATATTTCAGCATTACCACAAAGAAGGTATAATTAGCGGTGGTATTATCAAAACCAAAAACTTCTACCGGGTCTCCGCTGCTGATATTGTCAGTGGCACCTGCAGCCACAATATTTCCGTATATGTCCAGCAGGTAAATATCAAAATCTGTGCTGGCACCGGTGCCACCTGCAGAGAAAGAGGGTTGGTCCCATTGAAAAGAAGCAATAAAAGACCCTCCTGAAGGTATGTAAACAGGTTGATAGTAGCGGGGTGCTGCAGTTGGGTTGCTGAAATTATGCGCAGTTCCGTTGCCTGGTCCCAGCAGTTCTACTGTCGTAGACCTGTAGTCGCTTTCATAAGACGCGTTAGACTGGTTGCCGGCCGATGAAAAATAGGTAACCCCATTTTTCTTTGCCAGGTCTGCCGATTGCGCAATAATGCCATCCTGGAAAAAAGGCTCATCAAAATAGTAAACGTCGTCTACAATTACTTTACTTCCTTTCTGCGCCAGGTCCTGTATGCCCTGCGCAAAATTGGCCGTACCCAGGAATGCAGTATGAAAAGCCAGCGCTGCACCGGGTGCGGCATCATGTACGATTTCTGCCATGGCACGGCCTTCATCCCAACCGGATCCGTCATCCAGATCTTCCAGCACTTCTACCGGTTTTTTAAAATTAAAGGGATTGCCGGGTCCGGGCAGTTCGCCCGCCAGTACACCGGCGTCTGCTGTTCCCAGGTTGTTGTAGCTGTCAGACAGAATACCTACTTTAACTCCCTTGCCATCTACATTGTATTTTTTTCGGGCGATATTGGAACGTTGGGCTGTATCTCCCTGGCTGACTACCGGTACAGGTTTTTTGCCGAACAAAGTGGTATTGCATTGCTGCATAATATCCGTAGCCGCTTTTGACTGGTGCATGGGCCTGTAGGCAGGCTTCGCAAATTGGATGGATACAATAGTCGCCAGCGCGGGTAAAGCTTTCACCGGAACGATGCAGGAGATAACGCGACCAAAGCTTCCTGTAATCTTCGCGCCTAATTTTTGCAGTGCGGTTTTTGTGGCCGCCATATCTGCTTTTACAGTAATGTCAACCACAACAGCTTCTCCTTTTAACTGAAGATATCTGTCAAGCGCGTTGGCAGGAGCAGCGGGTTTTTCCCCGGTTGCCTGCGCCTTTCTTGCGGCAACATTATTGTCGAACAATTGCTGCAAAACCGGGCTCAGGGCTGCGGCTGATTTGCTAACCGTTGCCTGTTTGGGCACAGCGTTCAGAACAGGATCTCCCTTCACCTGTGCCATTAAAGGTGTGTGTAAAAAAAATAAAAAACCTGCGCACAGTGAACCGCGTACAATTCTTCTCATAAAAAAGTTGTTTACTGGTGAATGAAATAAAATTCAGGCAGATTAAATGGGGGGAATATGCGTTTAACGCAATGGTTACGCAAAGGACGATGGATAGATCTGTAACAATTTACTATTTGTTTTTCAAAAGGCGGCCTTTATTAATGGCAAAATATGAGGTTGCTGTAAAATACCCATACCGTTTTTATTTAAGCAGTGACAGTACCGCAAAACTGGCCAGCCAGTGCTCGCCACCGTAATTTCCGCTAACCACATTGGGCAAAGCCGCCTGTAAATGCCTGATAGCAGACTGCTGTAATATTTTTTTCTTTTATCTGATGCCGGCAACGCTCCGGCAATACTGCGCATACACCAGCTGCGGCTGAAACACAGACCGTCCAGGTGCACTATCTGCAGATCTGTGCGGTCTGATACCACCGGAAGGCGGGTCAGGTGCATTATACCGGCGCTTGAAATATAACGGTTAAGCCAATCTGTAAATTTCTTACCGGGCAATACACTTTTCATCAGTTCCGCTTCTTCCAGGCTGGGCGAAAGAAAATCGCTGCCATCGGGCTCCCACAAAATGGGCGCATTTTTATCGCCCGCATATAGCTGAACAGCAGCACTGGTAACCATTTTTTCAAAGGCAGTGTCCTGCAGAGTCCTGGCATATTCCAGCGCAAACACCAGCCCGAAAGCAGTGTTGGGGTGGGTGCCGGTGCGGTTGGGATAGGTTTGTTTGGGAAGAAAGGCGGACCACAAAGCGATGATTTTATGGGTGAGGGGCTGCAGTGCCTGGTGCCAGCGCCGGGCATCTTCATCGTTCCAGGTATACAGTTCCGCATCCAGTTTCAATAACCAGGCCCAGCCATATGTGCGTTCCCACCCTTTGGCCAAAGGGCTGCTGAAATAATTTACCTCTGTTGCAACGTGTTCTGCGGTAAGGGTATTGTTTATAGCAGCACGGATAGCAGCGGCCTCGGGCAATTGCGGAAATTTCTTAAGCAGGCTTACCAGCATCCAGTGCCCGTGTACAGAAGAATGCCAGTCGAAACAGCCGTAAAAAACAGGGTGCAGTTGGGTGGGTGAGCTGCTTGCCTGGTCGCTATCATTCTGCACTACATGGCCTGTTTTATTGGGATACTGCTGCAGGATACATTTTAATGGAAGCACTGCCAGCAGCGAAGCCCCTTTTTCTGTTAACTCAAAACCACTGCTGTCTTTTTTTACCCGGTAAAGATCCGTTTGCTGTGCGCCAGCTAGTCCACCGAATAAAACAAAGCTTATACAAAACAAATATTTCATAATATAAATGTAAAGCAAATCAAACCCTTTTTACCGGTTTGTGTGTCCGGCGCTTATTTATATTTTAGTGTATAAATAGATTTTACGTTTACTACCCCGTAACGTAGCTTTAGTACTTAGACCCCCTTAGCGGACAATATGAAAACCAATTCTGTTGCTAAACCCGGTACTCAACAAAAAAATGACCGTGCGTTTGAAGAATCGCTTCAACGTTACAAAATACTGTCACTTACTGCCAATGAAGGTATCTGGGATTACAATCTTGAAAACGGTCTCACCTACTACAACAGGGGTATCTCGCAGCTGTTTGGTTACAGCAAGGAGGATATGCGCGATAATTTTACCTGGTGGCGTGATAACCTGCATCCCAAAGACAAGAAAAGAGTTATTGAGCGGCTGGAAAAACTACTGGAGGGAAAAGAAAGTGCCTGGTGGGGTGAGTATCTTTTCCGCTGCAAGAACGGTGACTACAAACTGGTGCTGGAGAAATTGTATGTAGTAAGAAATGAACAGGGCAAACCCTACCGTATTGTAGGAACCATGCAGGACCTCACCAGGATAAAGGAACTGGAAAAAACCGGTGAAGAAGAAAAAATGCGGCAACAGCGGGAAATGACCAAGGCTATCATGAAAGCCGAGGAAGAGGAAAGAAAAGAAATCAGTGATGAGCTGAATGAAAATATAAACCAGGTGCTGGCCACCATCAACCTTAATATTGAGCAGGTAAAAAGGGAGGCCGATAATTATGAAAGAATGGAATGGCTGAACAATGCGCAGCAACTGCTCAGGCTTTCTATAGAAAACATCCGCTCTATTTCAAAGCAATTGACACCGGCCAGCCTGCCTTTTTTTGGCTTACTGCCTTCTGTAGAAGAACTTTTGCAGTCGGCCGGCAAAAGAAGCGACATAAAGTTTCAACTGAAAGCAGACAATACCATTGAAAAGAAAACAGACAAGGAAAAAAAATTACTGCTCTACAGAATTATACAATTACAGATTAAAAATGTACGCAACCACTCATCGGCTACCAATGCCCTGGTTCATATGCAGCTGGTAAAAGACAAAATTAAACTGTCTGTACGAGACAATGGTTCCGGCTTCGACCCCGCCCATCTGAAGTTTGGTTATGGTTTCTCCCGCATTCAGAATCTTACGGAAGCGTATAAAGGTTCTTTTTCAGTTAAAAGCCATCCCGGAAAAGGATGCACACTGGAAGTATTGCTTTGAATTGCTGATTACCTGATTGTTGTATCGGGAGATTTTCGTTGGCCATACCTGCTTCACAAAAATATCAGTGGCTGGAGTGCCAACATCTCCATCCAATACGAAAGCCGCCTTTTTGTTGTTGGCGCTTTGCGAAAAAAAAATGACGGACCAGGTGCGCACCCAATCTTACATTTCTTTTTTCGACCTGTTCTCTCAGCCCCTCCTAGCTTTCTATAATGCGCAGCTTGGCATAATTCAGCATGATTTTTTTCTCGCCATTCACATCAAACTTAACAGTGGCAATAGGGTTATGGGCCGAGCCTTCCATTTTGACCACCTGGCCAAACCCGAACTTCTGGTGTTCCACTTTTTGTCCTTCTTTAAGGTCAGAAGTATCGCTGGGTGCAAAATCTGCCGAAGGGGTATGTTCAATACTTTTGGGGGGCGCCTTTGGCACTACGTAACTGGGCGTGCTGCCTGGCTTTTTACCGGGTGCCGCGCCGTATCTTCTTTCTGCTTCATTGGCGCTGGAAGATCCGCCGCCAAAACCGCCGCCATTCATGCGGTTGTAGGCAGTATTGCCAAAACCGGAAGAAGTTTGGTTTTTTGCGCCTCCTCCGGCATAACTGCGGTCTGTATACTGCTCCGGAATCTCGTCCAGGAAGCGGCTGGGCTCATTCTGCACCAGGCTGCCAAACTTATAACGGGTATTGGCATACGTAATCCAAAGCTTCTTTTTTGCCCGCGTAATGACTACATAAAAAAGCCGTCTTTCCTCTTCCAGCTCTTCTCTCGTATTAATGCTCATGGCATTCGGAAACAGCATTTCTTCAAGACCGGCTGCAAAAACACATCCAAATTCAAGGCCTTTTGCGGCGTGTATGGTCATTAGTTTTACTGTATCTGCATGGGGATCTTTGTCATCTGCATCTGTTAGCAAGGTAATCTGCTGCAGGTAGCTGCCCAGGCCCTTGTCTACTACTTCGCCATCTTCATTGTCGGGGCTTTCTGTCCATTCTTTTATAGAGTTCAGTAACTCCTGTATGTTTTCATAGCGTTGAACGCCTTCGGTACTCTTATCGTTAAACAACTCTTTTACAAAAGCCGTTTGTTTGCCCACATGTACTGCCACCTCATAGGCGTTTTTGTTTTCCAGCATACTGGAAAAACTTTTGATCATCAGCACAAAATTTTCAATCGATTCCAGCGTGCCGCCCTTGTAGCCAAACTCCCTGGCCCTTTCCAGCACTTCCCAGAAAGAAATATTGTTTTCATTGGCAGCCAGTATGGCGCGGTCTACTGAGGTTTTACCAATCCCCCGTGCCGGCAGGTTGATGATGCGTTTCAACGCCTCTTCATCTCTTTTGTTTACCAGCAGGCGCAGGTAAGCAACGTAGTCTTTTATTTCTTTGCGCTGGTAAAAGCTGATGCCGCCGTAGATGGTATAGGCAATTCCCATACGGCGCAGGCTTTCTTCAAATGCACGGCTCTGGGCGTTGGTGCGGTAAAGAATGGCAAAGTCTTTATTGTTGAAATGATTGCGCAGTTTTTGTTCCTGGATGGTATCTGCCACAAATTTTCCCTCTTCGTTGTCCGTCATGGTACGCACCAGCTTAATCTTTTCGCCTTCTGCATTGTCAGTAAACAGCCGCTTTTCTATCTGGCCCTTGTTATTGCTGATGATTTCATTGGCTACGTTGATAATGTTCTGCGTGCTGCGGTAATTCTGTTCCAGCTTCACCACTTTTACATCATCGTAATCTTTCTGAAACTGAAGGATATTCTGGATTGTAGCACCGCGGAAGCTGTAAATACTCTGTGCGTCATCGCCCACCACGCAAACATTTTCGTGCTGCGCACCCAGCAGCTTAATGATCTCGTACTGTGCAGGGTTGGTATCCTGGTACTCATCAATTAAAATATACCTGAACTTACGCTGGTATTTGCTCAGCGCTTCCGGAAAGTTTTTCAGCAATTCATACATTTTAATCAGCAGGTCATCAAAATCCATAGCGCCGTTTTTAAAACAGCGCTTCGCGTAGGCGTCGTATATCTGGCCAATGGCCGGACGGTTGGCACGCATATCTTCCTGCTGCAAATAGTAGTCGTTGGCATATTCTGCAGGACCCACCAGGGCATTTTTAGCACTGGAAATGCGGTTGTATACGGTGGCTGGCTTATAATGTTTATCGTCCAGGTTCAGCTCGTTTATCACGGCTTTCACCACGCTCTTGGCATCGTCTGTATCGTAAATGGTAAAGCTGTTGGGGTAGCCCATGCGGTGCGCTTCTGACCTGAGGATGCGGGCAAAAACACTGTGAAAAGTACCTATGTACAAATTGCGGGCATCTGTGTTGCCCAGCGTACGTTCTATCCTTTCTTTCATTTCCTTGGCCGCCTTGTTGGTAAATGTAAGCGCCAGTATATTGAATGCATCTACCTTGTGCTCAGACATCAGGTGGGCGATGCGCGTGGTAAGTACTTTTGTTTTGCCGCTGCCCGCACCCGCAATAATCATTATGGGACCATCTTTATGCGCTACTGCCTCTTTCTGCGGTTCATTTAATCCTGATAAATAATCTAACATAGCTGCAATTTAGGTTGATTTGCCGGGAGGCTGAAAAACTATGTGCCGCTGTGTAAAAATATTTCCGGCCGGCGGCAAAAACAATAGAAAGGATTGAAAACGAAGGCTGTTTCCGCATAAAAATGGCCGGTGTTTCCACCGGCCAAAAGCAAACAATTGTGAAAGTGATGGGTTAACAATTATCAGCCTTTCTTCTGATACGTCAATATCTGTTATTTGCCGAAGTTCAGGCTTCTGTTAATGGTAAAGCCAAGGGCAAAATTGCCATCTTTAATGCTGCTGCTGTTCCTGGTTAACTGATCAAGGTTGGAAGACTCTGTTGTGCTGCCCACATAGAACTGGAAGAGGTGACCACCTGTATTGATTTCAATGCCTACTGCCACCAGGTCGGGATGGTAATTCAAAATTGCACCATTCTTAGAAATCAGGTTTTCATACATGTTCAGCTGACGGGTATATTCAAATGTAAGGTTCAGTTTGCTGGTGGCTTTGTATTTTCCACCCAGGCCGATAGAAAATACCTCGTTGCTATTGTTGATACCATAAGGCACCACGTTGTAATGTATCCAGGTAGGAATCAGTTCAAGTGAAAACTTACTTGAAAACTTACGGGCAATCAGCAGTTGATTCACAAAAGCCACTTTATTACCGGCAAACTCATTGTCGGGGTCTGCGGCCGTATTCACATTCACCAGTGAAAACCATGCTACAGAAACAGGTATATTCTTAGTACCGGTTTGCTGGCGCAGCAGTTTAAATTTCGCCCAGCCTTCGTATTTTGAACTACCGGCGGCGGCTATGCCCAGGTTAAGGTAATTAGTTGGAGAGTAAGCAAAAGACAAATACGTATGTGCAATACCTGAATTCAGTCCAAACAGCTGTGCTATATTCTGCTTGCCGCCATCCTTGTTCCATATATTGCTGAAATGGTGAGAAATCATAAATTCCAGCGCTCCCTTGCTTACAATTTCTGTACTCTGCATATTGATGATGCGGGTGGAGTTAAAAGTAGTGCGGGTAAACTTCTGTTTCGGCGCTTCTTTCACTTCGGCAGCGGAAGAGTCCTGTGCAAAGCTGTATGCTGTAATACCCAGGCAGACAATAAGCAGTGATAATATCTTTTTCATAATCGTTTTTTTGTTTTGTCGGAATTTTACTGATACTTGTTTACTGTGGCTGGCCCTGGTTAAGCCACTCACTGAAAAGTTTCACAGTGCAGGAGCTGAGGCTGAGTGTACCACCCGGGTGACCACTGGCACCGCCACTGTTCATCATGGTGGTGATTTCAGTTTTTTTGCTGACCATTTTAGCGTAATCGAGCGTTACCGCCAGGCCACCGTGGCAGGTAGAACCTTTGCAGGTACCGGTGTAAGCAGCAGCAATATTCTTTGTATAGGTAATTGCGCCTGTAACAGTGCAGCCGCCGCCATCATCTTTTGCACCTTCCAGTATCCATTGTTTAATGATGGATTTTTCATTGGGCTTAAAGTCTATTACACCTCCACCGGGGTGGGTGCCCCCATTTGCCCAGGTACCAAGTACGCCGGAGCGGGCCAGGATGGCATCATAGAAAACAGTATCTGCGTGTGAAAACTGCAGCGCCCTTTGTCCCTGCCCGTTATTATGACAACCACATCCGCCAGAGGTAACAATAGATACAATATCACCCCTGAACGATACCTGTGGAAGGGCCAGTACATCTTCTTTATTTTTATAACAGGATGACAGGAAATACAGGAACATGGATGTCATGGCTGCTGTTAGGATAATTCTCTTTTTCATATATCTGAAATTTTGAATAATTAATGTAGTTAGTGTTTTATGATATTGCCAGATTTCCTGTACTTAAATATGCCTGCATTGGCAGTACCGTATTTCCATACATCCGGTATATTGGGGTCATTAAAATACCAGGCTTTGATAAGGGCAACTTCATGTGGTTTCAGGCCACCATCGCCATAAGCCATATCTCCCTGTTGTGAAGTGGCATATACGCCGGTGAAAGGATTTGCCAGTAAAAGCGTAGAATCTATACGGCTGATTAAAGAGCTGGTTGCATTAAGGAAATTGCCCTTTACATAGTATTTCTTACCTGTTCCGGGGTCTGTATAAGAAACAGTTGTGGTGCTTCTCACGCTTTTGGGATAGTTTATATCAAAAAGAATATCGTCGTAGGTATTCAGCGGCCCCCTTGTACTTAAGGCTGATACCGGGGTAGAGAATGTCTTGTATGGTCTGAAAGAAGCATTGGCAACAGTATCAGTATAAAATCTTCTTACACTGTCTTTATAAGCATTTAAAGCCTGGTTCTTTACGGTTGCATTGGACAGTATGCAGTAAATGGTAGAAACGCCGTTGGAAGGATTGATATAGGTGTACTGTGTGGTATCTGCTGCTGCAAGACCTGGTATCAGTCCGGCCCTTGCCCAGCCACCGGTTCCGGTACCTTCATTATGGCAATTGGCAGACGCACAACCTGTAGTAATCAATGCTATGGCAGCAGGCCTGAAGTCTTTGTAATCTGGTTTTTCTTTCGCGCCATTAAGTATCCAGTTATAGATAAGCGTTTTGTCAGTAATATTCATTTCGTGATTGGAAGCCACGGGCGGCATCGCCTTATTAAAATCGTTGGTGGTAAGATAATCCCATATTTTACTGGCCTGCGGGTTGCCCGGTGTGATATACTGCATGATATCAGTGTACCTGTCGAAAGCAGGTTTTATCGGTCCCCCATGACAGTTGGATGTTCCGCAGTACTCATGAATAATAGTCTTAACACCCCTGAACTTTATAATGTCATTTACATCAGCGGTTACATCGGCGGTACTGATTTTAGCCGTGTCGTAAAACGATGCATATATAGTAGTATCTGCTGTGCCCTTGAAGGATCTGTCAAGGTTTTGTACAATATCCCCTGTTTTTTTACACTGGAAAACAGCACCGCATATGAATAAGGCAGCGAAGAAAAGAGCTACTGCTTTAATGGCTGATAGTTTTTTCATAAAAATTACTTTACTGATTGAAGATGTACCAGGGAAAATTGCCCTGTGGTTTTGCGTTTTCAAAAGTAGACAGCATGGCGTGACAGTATTATGACAAACACATGGGCAATACATGACATTCGTCAGTTACTATTTTTCCGGGAGCGAGCGCCCCTTAAATGATACTTCTCAGGTATTTCGTTGACACGCATCATACAAATACAAAAATCAGATAGATAATTTGCGCACACTTGTCTCAACATCTTCACCCTTCAACTTACATACATATGGGAAACGATAAATTACCGGAACTCACATCACGCAGGGCTTTTCTGTCCATGTTTGCATCAAAAGACAAAAAAACAGGTAACCCGCAAATGGTAAAAATGCTTACACCCGATGGCAAACTGGTGGAAGTGGACAAAGCCATGCTGGACCACGCCATCAGCAAACAAAAAGCCTCCAGCAAAGACATCTTTGACTGGATGAACAATCCTTCCAAAGAAAATAGCTAAGCACATTTCTTTATATACAATCTCTTACAATGAATCAAGAAATAAATGATACCGGCCGACGCAATTTTCTAAAAACGGCCGCCGTTGCTGCCGCAGCTTCTGTTGCCTGCAGCAGTTTAAGCTGTTCCTGCTCTCCCAAAAAAGCGGTGGTTACAGAAAAGATCAAATTGTTGTCTCCCGAGGGAGAAATTGTAGAAATAGATTCCGCTTACCTTAATCACCAGGAACATATGGCCATTGTTTCCAAGCTGGAAGCACGGGAAGGCATCGCAGGAAAGAAATTTGTGATGGTAGTTGATCTTTCGCGCTGCAAAAATGCACGCAAATGTGTTTCTGCCTGCCAGAAATGGCACTACAGGCCGGAAGAAACGGAGTGGCTGAACGTAAAACTGATGAAAGATAATGAAAAGGGCGCGCCCTACTGGTTTCCCAAACAATGCTTTCATTGCGACAACCCGCCCTGTGTAAAGGTTTGCCCGGTAGATGCTACATTCAAAAGACAGGACGGTTTGGTGCTGATAGATAATGATCGCTGTATTGGTTGTAAATTCTGCATGGCCGCCTGTCCCTATTCTACGCGTGTATTTAACTGGGAAGAACCTTCCTTCCCTGCAGATATAAGAGATCTTGTTTCCAACCCCGAAACAAATATCCCCGGCAAAGTTGGCACCGTTGAAAAATGCGATTTCTGCCCGGACAGGGCCCGGGAAGGCCAGCTGCCGCCCTGCGTGGAAGCATGTCCCAACGGTGTATTTTATTTTGGCGATGAAAATGAAGACACCGTTTCCAACGGCGATGAGACAGTGCGCTTTTCTCAATTAATAAAAGAACGTGCAGCTTACCGTTATATGGAAGAGCTGGGTACCAAACCAAGGGTATACTACCTGCCACCCAAAGACAGGCAGTTTCCTGTTGAAAGGGGTTATGAAAATTTACCCGACAAACTGAAGAACAGGTTCAGGGATGTAATGGAAGAAAAAAGCGGATCCTGACATTTGTATTTAATTCAATAAAGAATCGTTTTTATGGAACTCAATAATTACCAGAAGGAAATATTTAACCTGCAGCGACCCACTATCGAAACTTACGGAAAGCGAGCCTGGGGATGGTCTGTTTTTTACCTGCTATGGATAGGTGTGGGTGGCTATGCGCTTTATCTGCAGATAGCCAAAGGACATAAAGTAACCGGTATGCGCGACAACGTGGTCTGGGGCCTTTATATCGCTAACTTCATTTTCTTTATTGGTATCAGCTATGCCGGAGCCGTTATTTCAGGTATACTGCACATTTTAAAAGTAGAATGGCGCAAACCCATCATCCGCATTGCGGAAATGATAACGGTAATAGCCACCATCATTGGCCCCATGTTTATTTTATTATGCATTGGAAGGCTGGACAGGTTGCATCACCTCTTTCTGTATCCAAGACTGCAATCGCCCATTACCTGGGATGTACTTGCCATAATGACCTATTTTACCGGCAGCGTCATTTTTCTCTACCTGGCGTTGATTAAAGACTTTGCCATCTACCGCGATGCCCAACTGAATGTGCCAAAATGGAAACAAAAGCTGTACAAAATACTTGCTATTGGTTACCGCGGTACCGCCAGCCAGAAAAGGCATATCCGGATTTCTACCAACCTGATGGCTATTATGATTATCCCCCTCGCCATTATTGTTCACTCCGTACTTTCCTGGATTTTTGGTATGACTTTGCGCCCGGGCTGGCACAGTACTATTTTTGGGCCCTACTTTGTACTGGCAGCCATCTATTCCGGTACTGGTGTATTGATTATGGCCATGTGGGTATACCGGAAAATGTACAAGATGGATAGCTACCTTACAGACAAACATTTTATTTACCTGGGATATATAATGATGGTACTGGCCGCGGGCTATGGGTATTTTACATTTTCAGAATACCTTACCAGTTGGTTTGCTTCAGAAAAATGGGAAAGCGAGGTGCTGGAGAAATTATTTAACCCGGCTAAATACGGATGGTGGTTCCTGTTTGCCAATGTAGCGGGTATTCTTTTGCCAATACTGATAGTGGCCATTCCAAAAACCCGCACACCCAACCTGATTACTATTGCTTCATTGTTTATGGTAATTGCCCTTTGGGTAAAACGTTACCTCATCATTGTTCCTACACTGGAATCTCCGCTGTTACCTATGGAAGACACCAGGACTGAATATGTAAAATACCATGCTACCTGGGTAGAGTGGGCACTTACTTTTGCCGGCATAGCTACATTCTTCCTCTTCTTTACCATCATGTCAAAGTTCGTAACAGTACTTCCCATATCTGAGTTTGGTGATAAGGAGGCAGTACCTGTAAAAGAAAAAGAAATTGTTATTGCTTAAAAATATTTTATGAAACAAGATTCAGGCAGAAATACCCTTAGCAAAAAAATTACTGGCGGACTGGCTATTTGGCTATTGCTTACCGCATTACTACCATGCAGGATGTTATTGGCGCAAACAGACAGCGGCAACCAGGCTGCAGCAAGCACCGGCATTTCGGTATCACCTGCACTCAGATTTATCAGCATTCAAAAATCAGACAAAACTATTGATCTAAAGGCCAACTTGCGTTTAAAACAAAAAGGTGTTTCTATCAAATTACCCCTGCTAAAAATTACCTTTATCCAGGCGGCAGACTCCGCCTCAAAGGAGTTAGGCTTTGTAATAACAGACCGCAACGGACAGGCAGTACTGAATGTTAAACAGCAAGCGTTAACGCCGGACAAAGATGGAAAACTGCATATAAAAGCCGTGTTTGCAGGCAACAAACAGATGGAAGCAGCCGAGGAAGAGCTTAGTATCCAAAAAGCGGTACTTATCATTACACCAACCAAAGATGATTCTGTGCTGAACGTAAAGGCAACACTTACAGATGCAGCCACTGGAGCACCCGTTACCAAAGCTACCGTGGGTATTTTTGTGAAGCGTGCTTTCTTTCCGTTAAAAGTGGGAGAAGGCGCTACCGATGAAAACGGTGAAGTAACCGTAGAAGTTCCTGGGAATTTACCGGGCGATGCAAAAGGAAATATCACCCTTATTGCAAAACTGGACGAAAGCGAAATCTATGGGAATGTGGAAGCAGACAGCCAACAGCCCTGGGGAGCCGCGGTATCTGATAAAGCAGCAATACAACCAAGAGCATTGTGGAGTACGCACCCACCGCTATGGATGTTGTTTACTTTTCTCATATTAGTAACCGCCGTCTGGGGTCATTATATCGTCATCATATTTGAGCTCTTCCGTTTAAGAAAAGAAGAACCACACCCGGCACCTGGCGCACTCAGTTAACATTTAAACACCCGTATTTACTAACAAAACAATAAAAAATATGAAAAAGAAGATCTATGTAATGACGACAGTCTTGTCTGCGTTTACATTTTTTGCATTTATACCGGAGAAAAGTTACCAGAATCCCCCGTGGGCGGTGCCTGAAGCTGCTAAAACAAAGGCAAATCCGGTAAAGAGCGATGCCGCCTCCATTGCTACGGGCAAAGATTTGTATGCCACACATTGCAAATCTTGCCATGGCACCAAAGGAAAAGGAGACGGACCAAAAGCCTCTCAGCTGGATACTGAATGTGGTGATTTTACAAAAGCCGCCTTCCAGGGACAGACAGACGGCGCGCTGTTCTACAAAACATTTGAAGGAAGAAAAGATATGCCTTCTTTCAAAAAGAAAATCGCTGACGCCAATGATATCTGGGCCGTTGTCAATTATGTAAGAACGCTCAAATAGAGCTGTTGCAAATTGTAAACCGAACCTGTAAAAAATAAAGCGGCTGCCTGTAATAAGGCAACCGCTTTCTATCTTTCCGCGGGCTTTGCTGGTAAATTTTTCCGAAAAGCAGGCAGATCCCTGTTGGCATATAGGGTTTATTTTTTATCAGGCGCGGATGGCGGGGCTTCATGCCCGGTAATTTTATCCCAAAAACCCTTTGCCTTGTCAGCCAGTTCATCAATTGTTTCGCTGGCTTCTTCCTTCAGGTGATGCAGTTCTGCTTTCACATCTACCGCTTTAAACTTTTCCCATGCATCTGCTGCATTGTCTTTCAGCTGATCTCCTAATTTGGCAGCCTCTTCCTCTATATTTTCAAACGTTTCAGACACCTGCTCTGCAAGGCTGTTTTCTTTTATGGGTGCTTTTGTTTCTTCAGGCATTGTACAATGATTTTAAAAATGATTACCTCTTCCGTAAGAGACGAGGAAGAACACAAAAAAGTCAGCATCCATACAGAAATAGTATCAGGCTGCCACGGAAGGCTTTGTCGCCGGTCAGCGGCAGCTATTTACCGGCCAAGCTCCGGATTTTAGGACCCTCTTTGAGAACCGCCCGTTAATTTAGTATTGCGGGTAACTGCTTTTGTATTGGCTTTTCCTTTGGCGTTTTGCGCACCGGCCTTACCTGTTTGGTTACCTCCGCCGGGGCGACTGTCTTTTTTGTTCTTTTTATTTGGAATCAGTGACATAGATAATAATTTATGGATAAATGTAAACAAATTGGACCTAAAAACGCCGCTTATTTCAGCGAAAATTATGCAGCTATATGCCTGCGCATCATGCTTTTGACGTTTATTCCCATGCACCGCCCGTATGATAAACTGGGTTACCATACCTATAAAAAACAATCAGGGATAAAAAGTGGTGGGCACGGGTCCTTTAACAAAACCTGGGGCCTGGCTGGTTCTTTCCTTGCTTATTTTAAGCCGGTAACGGAGTATGTTGTCGTGATTGTAAAGCACGTGCAGCCATTGAACATTGGTGTTTTCAACACAAAACTGGTAACGCAGGCGGGTTTTGTCTTTGTTGGTATTTACAGGTTCCAGCAGGGCAATGCCGGGAACGAAGCGCTGCAATACGCTGTCAAACGCTGTCACTGTGTCGGCAGCCATCCTGCTGTCGGCCTGTGGGTTAAACGATTCCAGCATAATTTCAACCGTATCGCCCAACGCGGCTTCTATGATGCCACCGCCAGGTGCATAAGCACTGATACTGTATTTGGTAAACGATTTATTTTTATACGGACTGCTATTGAATTCTCCCGGCAGGGGCGGTTTTTGCATCAGCGTCCAGCGCAGATCGTCGGGAAAATGGTCCTTGATAAAGTTTTCCGGCGGCGCCAGAAAATAGGTGTCATCAAAACGTTTTACAAACTCATCGCCCCTGTAGTTGGTGTAGCCGCTTGCCCAGGTAATGTCCAGCAAATGCCAGGCACTGTCAATGTACACTGCATTCCAGGTATGATTGCAACGGAATTTCAGCTGCCTGCTTAAATCACCTTTTGCAAACCCTGTAATGATGGCACTGCGCAGACCGGCATAATCACACAACGTTTTAAAAAGACGGGCATATCCGTCACAAACAGCCGAAGTGTTTTGCAGCACGGTTGCTGCTACCATATCGTTCGCCGATTTCCATTGGCTGGTATCTGTAAACGTCAGCCGGTTAATGCCCGACAGGTTAGTATTGCCGTAATTTTTTCTTACCCGGTAACTGATATGTTCTGCAATCCAGCTAAAAATAGATCGCAGTTTTTCGCGCTCCGTTGCATACTCTTTGGTGAGTGTATAAGCCAGTTCTGCCGGAGGAGCCGATGCAATTGATTTTACACGCTGATCAATTTCTGCAAAGCTCACCAGCTGCTGCTGGGTAAAACAGGGATGGGTATACAGCAGCAACAGGATGATATAATACTTAGTATTCAGTATATAGTATTTAGGCAACGCAAAAAAAAAAACGATACTGATTCGTATATCTAATTTACGGAAAATAGTACTTAGTATATCGTATTCAGCATTCAGGCCAACCGCATTTGCCGGGCAAACGCAGGGTCACATCGCTAACGCTATACGCCAAAAAACGATTTTTCGATCCCCTTGCCGCATGTCTGCATACCAGGTACTAAATACTTCTCTTCGCCCGCTTGTACTGATCGGGCCAATCTATGTCAACCCCCAGCTCATGTGCGGCATGCAGCGGAAAATATGGATCGCGCAGGAATTCCCGTGCAATGATTATTAGATCAGCTTCTTCATTGGCAAGAATGGCTTCTGCCTGTACAGCGCCGGTAATCATGCCTACTGCACCAGTTAATATACCGGTTTCTTTTTTTACCTGTGCGGCAAAGCGCACCTGGTAGCCCGGACCCACAGGAATTTTCACCCCCGGTAACAAGCCCCCGGTGGAACAATCCATAAGATCAACCCCTTTTTCTTTCAGCAGGGCAGATAGTTTTACCGAGTCCTTTTCGTCCCAGCCACCCGGTGCCCAATCGGTGGCCGAAATACGCACAAACAAGGGCAAATCTTTGGCCCATACAGATTGCACCGCGTCGGTAATTTCCAGCAGAAGGCGTATCCTGTTTTCAAAAGATCCACCATATTCATCTGTACGCGGGTTGCTGAGGGGCGATAAAAATTCGTTGATTAGATAGCCATGCGCGGCATGAATTTCAATCAATTTGAAGCCTGCTGTCAATGCCCGCCCTGCTGCCGCTTTGAAATCTGCAATTACTTTATTAATGCCTTCTTTGGTCAATGCTTCCGGAATCATTTCGCCCTCATTGAAAGGGATGGCCCCGGGCGCCACAGTCTGCCATCCGCCATTTTCTTTGGTTAACTGGGTACCGCCCTTCCATGGAGATGGTGAGCTGGCTTTTCTGCCGGCATGCGCCAATTGTATGCCGGCTACCGAGCCCTGCTTATGAATAAAAGAAACAATGGCTTTTAATTTATCAAGGTGGGCGTTTTTCCAGATACCCAGATCATCCGGCGAAATGCGGCCTTCGGGCGACACTGCCGTAGCTTCTGTAATGATAAGGCCTGCACCTCCTACTGCACGGCTGCCCAGGTGAACCAGGTGCCATTCATTGGCAAATCCATCTACTGCAGAATATTCGCACATGGGTGATACCACAATCCTGTTTTTAAACGTAACAGATTTTATAGTGAGGGGAGAGAATAATTTTGACATGGTAATTGATTGACGTGTTAATTGTATGCTGTAATGACAGATAATGCTTTGAATTGTTCGGCGACTGGTGGATAGGCCATGCATGGCCTATCCACGGGCCAATCATCAATTTACATGATTATCTGCACCGGGCCGTTGTATTGCTTACCTTTCCGGCTTCAATTTATTGGTATGGTTAAAGTGGGGCAATACAATACACTGGCAATACAGCGTTTTACAGAGTTTGGTGCTTTCCTGGAAGATGGTAAAGAGGGATTGCTGCTGCCCAAACGATTCGTACCCGCCCGAGCAAAAGTGGGCGACGCTATCGAGGTATTTGTATACCACGATTCTGAAGACAGGATGATTGCCACCACCCAGCGGCCCAAAGCCATTGTGGGAGAGATTGCCCTGCTGCGCGCTGTTACTGTTACCCACCAGGGTGCTTTCCTGGACTGGGGGTTAATGAAGGATCTTTTTGTACCCCGCAGCAAGCAGTTGAGTGGCATGCGGGTAGGGGCTGATTACCTGGTGAAAATTTATATTGATGTGCAGACTGGCCGCGTGGCTGCCACTGAAAAAATAGAGTTTGAGCTCAGCAATGAACCACTTACCGTAAAAGAAAAAGACCTTGTACAGCTGACAGTTTACCGCAGAACGGATATCGGTTATGTTGTAATCATAAACAACCTGCATACCGGTGTACTGCACCATAATGAGATTTACAGGAATATACAGGAAGGTGATAAGTTTGAGGGCTTTATAAAACACATCAGACCCGATAACAAAATTGACGTAGCTGCAGGTAAACCTGGTTATGAAAGAGTAGAAGACGCTTCAGAAAAAATATTAAGGCTGCTGTCAGAAAACAATGGCTATCTTCCTTACTACGATAAATCTTCTCCTGATGAAATCTATGATGTTTTTGGCATGAGTAAGAAAACATTCAAGATGGTAACCGGCAGCCTGTACAAACAACGTAAGATAACGCTTACAGAAACCGGTATTAAACTGGCATAAAAAAGCCGGCATACTTTACAGTATACCGGCCCTATAAAAACCCTGCATTAACAACATCCGGGTATATCTGGTATTTTATTTTACATGGACGTCTTTTAAATTACGCTGCATCCTGCATTTGCGAAACATTCTGCTCCAGCCTGTCTGCTATTGCCATTTCTATAATGGGAGGGACAATATCGGCTGATTTATCCATTTCCGCGTAGCGGTCCAGCCCATCGTCCCAGCCAAAAACATGTACCGGTCCGCCATTATAGCTGACGCGGTAAAATGTTTCTCCAGAAGGAATTTTAAATGGCGTTGCATTTACGGCATACGATCTTCCGTTTAACGGCACTTCAAATGAGATAGACTGCATTTTCGGCTTTTTAGATCTTGTAGGTTTTGTATGTTCCATAAAAAAAGTTTTATCGGTGAATAATCTTTTATGTTATCGTAAAAAGGCAACAAGCATGCCCCTGCCAACTATTTGTTCATGTTCATCACTACGCACAGGTTTAGAGCCTTTTACAGCATAATCGTGAAAGATTTGTTAATGAGTTTTTTGTGGAAATATGGGCAAATTTGTGGGCAGGGCGTGGCATAGGTAACACTAAATGCAGCCTTGATAAAGATCAGAAACTGATAGGTTTATTTTAGCTACCTTCATCACGACACAGGTTAAGCTCAGATTAAAAGATTGCCCGCTTATGCTTCGTTCCGTTATTACAGGTACAGGTTCCTATATTCCACCGGATATTCAGTCCAACGCAGACTTTTTTCAGCATACTTTTTACACAGACGCAGGTCACCCGCTGGATATTCCGGCACCGGAGGTAATTGAAAAATTCAGGAAGATTACCGGTATTACAGACCGCCGTTATGCACCGGATACTATGACCGCTTCCGACCTGGGTGCACTGGCGGCCCGCAATGCCATTGAAGACAGCGGTGTTGACCCGGAAACCATAGACCAGATCATTGTTGCCCATAATTTTGGCGACACTTTAAAGGAAACCATACAGATGGATGCCGTGCCTTCGCTGGCCAGCCGCATCAAACACCAGCTGGGTATTGTGAGTCCGCAATGCATAGCCTATGATATTCTGTTTGGCTGCCCCGGCTGGATACAGGGTGTTATCCAGGCCGATGCTTTTTTTAAAGCGGGGCTGGCAAGAAAATGCCTGATCATTGGCGCTGAAACATTGTCGAGAGTGATAGATTTATACGATCGCGACAGTATGATTTTTGCGGATGGCGCCGGTGCCTGCGTACTGGAATATAAAGAAGTACCGCAGGATGGCAGTGGCATCCTCAGCGCCAGCATGCAAAGCCACACGGTTAAAGAAGTAAATTATATAGACATGGGCGCATCCAATTGCCCCGGCAGCGATGCCCATGTACGTTATATGAAAATGAAGGGGCGGAAAGTCTACGAATATGCCATGAAACATGTTCCGGATGCCATGAAGGACTGTTTAGACAAGAGTGGCATACCCATTACAGATTTGAAAAAGATTTTCATTCACCAGGCCAATGAAAAAATGGATGAGGCTATTGTAAAAGCCTTTTACAAATTGTACCATATTGATGAGCCGCCGGCGCATATCATGCCGATGACCATTCACTGGCTGGGCAATAGTTCAGTGGCCACCGTTCCTACCTTATACGACCTTGTTATTAAGAACCAGGTGACAGATCATGCGCTGCATAAAGGAGATGTTATCATTTTTGCTTCCGTAGGTGCCGGCATGAATATCAATGCGGTTTGTTACCGGTATTGAGCAGCGTTTTTGCCATTACAATCATGCCGCCATTGCCCTCAAATGCTGCAAGACCACCCTGAATAATTCATCCGGGTTAAAAGGCTTCACAATAATATCGGTAAGTCCTGCGGCATATACTTCACTCTCAACTTCTTTGGGCAAACTGGCCGTAAGTGCTATTACCGGCAGGGTTTCTCCTTTATTTCTCAGTAAGCGGGTAGCTTCATAGCCATCCATTACAGGCATGTCCAAATCCATTAATACCAGGCGGTGTTTGCCAGAATTAAACATTCGCACACCTTCTTCACCGTTCTCTGCCACATCAATCAGCGCGCCGCAGCGCTCCAGGAACGCTTTTGCTACCATTACATTCAGCGGGTTGTCCTCTACCAGTAAAATAGCGATTCCTTCCAGGCTTCTTGCTTCTTCTTCATTAAGCGCCGTGGTGGGTGTTTCCACCGCAGTGGCTTCTGAACTCAATGTGAAAGTCTGTGTAAAATAAAATTCAGAACCAATGCCCGGCTGGCTTTTTAGCTGCAGCCTGCTGCCCTGCATTTCCAGAATTTTCTTGCTGATGGACAGGCCCAGCCCCGTACCGCCAAAACTACGCGAGGTAGAAGAATCTGCCTGGGTAAAACGCTCAAAAATAAGCTGCTGTTTTTCCGGGGCGATACCTATGCCGGTATCTTTCACAGAAACCTTCAATGTAACCTGGTCTGTTTCTATTTTCTCTGCCTGTATAGAAAGTGCAACCCCGCCTTCGCGGGTAAATTTTATGGCATTGTGTACAAGATTATTCAATACCTGGCTGGTACGGGTAGGGTCGCCTATTACTTTGCGGGTTAGGCGCGGGTCAATGTTCAGTTTCAATGTTACCAGTTTGTCATCGGCAAGATTTTGCAGGCCGGCCAGCACGTTTCTGGCCATACAGGGCAGATCCATGGCAATCTGTTCAATACTGATTTTGCCCGCTTCAATTTTATTGTAATCGAGAATATTGTTAACAATAGACAGCAGGTTATTGGCAGAAAACAGCAGTACATTCAGTTGTTCCTCCTGATCTTTTCTGGGTTCGCTCCGGTTTAATAAATGTGCCATGCCAATCACAGAATTCAGCGGGGTGCGTATTTCGTGCGACATGGTAGACAGGAACTCTGTTTTCGCTTTAAGCCCCTGCTGCGCTTCAGCAGCCGCCAACTGCAATATATCTGAAAAGCGGTGCGACATTACCAGCGACTGCAGGAAGAAGAAAGCCACGTATCCGGCAAATACCAACAATGGCATTTCAGGAAGTAAGTTAAAATGCTGCAGGTTAACTATCAGGTACACCATCAGCATAATACCACTGCTCAGCAGTGCGTAAACAGCTCCATTTCTTTTATGAATAACCGCCTGCACATAGATATAAAGCGCATAAGCTATGTACAGGAACATAACAACCAGGAAATAATTCAGCAGGCTGGTAAAAATAAGTGGCGACAGGAACAGGATAATACCTGCGTAAAACAGGCATAGATAAATGACTCCTTTCATCAGCGCCTGTTTGGTATCTTTTGGATACAACATCCTTGTGTATTGCGAAAACAAAGCAACGCCTAATACCAATGTGAGGTATTCAAGCCTTATCGCGATAAACCAGCTGAGGTGTGGAAACAGGGTGTGCAGCACGTAAGGTTCTGTACCAATCATACGGTAACTGGTAACCATACAAAAAACAGAAAAATAAAAGATGATTTTATCATTTCTGCCAAAAACAGAAAGCCCCCAGAAGAATAATCCGCCCATAAATAAGCAGCCCGCCAGGATAAGTCCAAGAGCATTGTTCCGCCTGTATTTAAGTACCAATTGCTTACGTTCGCCCAGCACGATGGCTTTAGAAATGCCTCCTTTGGAATGCCAGTAATTGGCCACCTGCATTATCAGTTGCAACGTATCACCTGCTTCGCCCAGCGGAATAAACTCTGTTGTCCAGAACGGTACAGCATCGGAGGCCCTGGCGGCAGGCTTGCCGTTTTCAGCTACCAGCCTGTTGTTTACAAAAAGGCTGTAGGAACTGAAAGCCGGTGGTATTTCCATGGCCAGGCCCTTACGTTTTGCCGGCAGCAGAATGGTAAGATGATAAGTACCGTAGCCCTGGGGGAAAATAGCTGGTTGCTGTCCATGGGCCTCTTTCCATAGCTGCGGGTATTGAATATAGTGATGCTTATCTGGCAGTGCATTGCCCGGCAGCAACATTTGTTGCCAGTAAAAATCCCATTCGCCGCTGAGCGAAAAAAACTGTGAAGACAAATCAGTTTGCCGGAGATCAAGCACTCCTTTTCGTGCCTCAGGACTGGGTTGAAGCTGCGTTTGGGCCCGTAATTTTTGGCAGAAAGTACCCATGAAAAACAGCAACGCAAAAACTCGAAAAAGGATCTTCATAGCTCAACCGGATATTCTGCAGGTATAAAAAAAATTACCTTTTAAGAACGTCATATTGTGGAAAAAATGATATGAAATGTTTGAATTTTACGTGCTATCTATGTTAAAATGTAAAACACCCCGATGGTTTTTAATTTTTAATAAGGGTAAACACTTGCCGCATGGTTACTGTCATACTCATTTAGGCATGCTATATACAAAACAAGAAGGCCATTCCCCTGCATGGGGAATGGCCTGGTCTGAAAACTATTTATGGGGCTTATTGTTTCTTTGTTTCCAGTAATTTAAAGAACTGATCCAGCTGGGGAAGGATTACAATTCTTGTTCTGCGGTTGGCAGCTTTGCCTTCAGCAGTGCTGTTGTCTGCTACTGGTTTGTACTCTCCGCGGCCGGCTGCGGAAATATGCGTAGGATCCAGGCCATACTCTTTCTGCAGTATTCTTACTACAGAAGTAGCGCGTTTCACACTCAGGTCCCAATTGTCCTGCAGAATACCGCCGCTGAAAGCAACATTGTCTGTATGGCCTTCTACCATAAATTCAATATCGGGTTGATTTTTCAGTACGGTAGCCACTTTACCCAAAACGCCTTTGGCGTTATCAGTGATATTGTAGCTGCCGCTTTTAAACAGCAGTTTATCAGAAATATCAATATATACTACGCCTTTGTCAACTTTAATATTAATGTCTTTATCGTCCATATTGCCGATAGCGCCTTTAAGGTTCATTACAAGGGCCATATTCAATGAATCCTTACGCGCCATAGACGCCTGCAGATCCTGTATATAATTGTCTTTGGCGCCAATATTCTCCATTGACTTTTTTATACTTTCTGCCTGTGAGCTGGAGATAACAGAAAGGTTCTGCAGCTGCTGCAGGGCCTGTGTATTATTTTCTTTCAGGAAGGCTATCTGCTTGTTTAAGCTTTCAATTTCTGCGTCGGACAGCATTTTTTTCTTTGCTGCATCGGCTCTTTCGTCTTCACAGGTTTTTAATGAGCCCTGCAACGAGGCATATTGCGTGTTCAGCGCCGCATACTTGTCCTGCTCAGCCTTAAACTTTTTATTACTTACACAGGAGAAAAGCATTACAGAAGAGAGCGCCGGCAGCAAGATTTTTTTCAAATACATAATGTTGGTTTTATATAATCAATAGGTGTTTTAGGAAGCGCTAATTTACAGCATATATCTACATCTTTGGTAAAAGCCCCTTTACAATTACAGCTACATTAAAAGGATTTTAACAGTGCTTTTACCGCGGTGCCGGAAAGGTACAAAATACAAAAACCCGGAACGAATTCCGGGTTTGTAAAATATAAAAAAAAATTATCTGTTCATACTTGCCAGGAACTCTTCGTTGCTTTTTGTGCCCCGCATCCGTTTCAACAATTCATTCATGGCCTCTTCGGTATTCATATCGCCAAGGAAAACGCGCAGCAGGTTCATGCGCTGCAGCACATCGCGGTCCAGCAGCAAATCATCGCGGCGTGTGGAAGACGCAGTAAGGTCAATCGCGGGAAATATGCGCCTGTTGGCCAGTCGCCTGTCCAGCTGAAGCTCCATATTGCCGGTTCCTTTAAATTCTTCAAAAATAACCTCTTCCATTTTTGAACCGGTATCAATCAGTGCGGTAGCAAGAATGGTAAGAGACCCACCGTTTTCTATTTTACGGGCTGCACCAAAAAACTGTTTTGGCTTCTGCAGTGCGTTGGCTTCCACACCACCACTCAACACTTTACCGCTCGCAGGTGCTACAGTATTGTGTGCCCTGGCCAAACGTGTAATGGAATCAAGCAGTATTACCACGTCGTGTCCGCACTCTACCAAACGTTTTGCTTTCTGCAAAGCCATTGTAGAGACTTTGACGTGTTTCTCTGCGGGTTCGTCAAATGTAGAAGCTATTACTTCTGCTTTTACACTGCGTTCCATATCGGTCACCTCTTCCGGGCGTTCGTCTACCAGTACAATCATCAGGTAGCATTCCGGGTGGTTTTCTGCAATTGCGTTGGCCACTGCTTTCAGCAGCATTGTCTTACCCGTTTTGGGTTGTGAAACGATTAATCCGCGCTGTCCTTTACCAATAGGAGTAAACAGGTCCATGATGCGCGTAGAATAATCAGAAGGACTGGTAAACAAATTCAGTTTCTCAAAAGGAAACAACGGTGTAAGGTAGTCAAACGGAACGCGGTCACGCACTTCCTCCGGCCCTTTACCATTAATGGTTTCAACTTTTAATAAAGCAAAATATTTTTCGCCTTCTTTGGGAGGACGAACAGCACCAAAAACAGTATCGCCCGTTTTTAAGCCGAACAATTTTATTTGTGACGGAGATACGTATACATCATCCGGTGAACTTAAATAATTGTAATCGCTGCTGCGCAGGAAACCGTATCCGTCCGGCATCATTTCCAATACACCTTCTCCCTGTATAATGCCATCAAATTCTATATTGAATACATCGTTGCTTCTTCTCTGCTGCTGAAAGTTGCGTTGTGGTTCCGGCGGTGCCTGCTGACCTGGCTGCTGCTGCTGTTGAGGATCGGCAGGCGAAGCAGGTGTAGCCCTGTTGCCGGCTTCAATGTCTGGTGCATTGCTGTTGTTCATATCCTCTTCTTCCTGGCTATCATCCTCTTCATCCCGTTCAGGAATCTCTTCTTCCACTTTTTTGCGCCCACGTTTAATGATGGGCTTTTCTTCCTTTTTAATACCCGCTTTCTTTATTTCAGGCTTGGCAGCAGGTTTATCATCCCCACTTTCTACAATGGCTTCCTCTGTTGAATTGGAAGTGGTTGTTTTTACAATTCTTTTTCTTTTTCCTTTGTCCTCAGTTCCACCTTTTGCAGCACTGGCCGCTACGGCTTGTTTATCTAGAATTTGGTATACAAGGGCCTGTTTATCAAGCTTTTTGGCATTGGGGATTTTAAGCTGCTCAGCAATATCGAGCAATTCAGGAACGAGCATGTCGTTCAGTTGCAAAATGTCGTACATAATGGAGTATTAGTCATCAAAATCAAAAAAACCTAAATCTGCACAAGGTTGTTGAAAAAATTTTGAAATGAAATGTGATTGTGAACGGAATGGAAAAACTGATAAGCTGTAGACTAAGGGAGTGAACAAACCAGCCTGATTCCTCTGCAATGATAGCATAAAAACGTAAAAAGTAAAAAATTATTTTGCAAATCAGGCTTGGTGGCGGCTTTCAGGGCTTTCCAATATTTTTAGTAAAAACACTTATTGAAAACTACGATGCCCCAGCTTGGGATTGCTAGATCACTTTATGCTGCAATTTCTTACCGGCCACAAACTCATCCAGATTAGAAAGGGTGGTCTGTGCAATTTGTGTAAGCGCTTCTTCTGTAAAAAAACCCTGGTGGGCAGTAATCAGCACATTCGGAAACCCCATTAACCGCATAATAACATCATCCTGTATCACTTCTTCGCTGAGGTTGTGAAAAAACAAATGTTCTTCCTGCTCATATACGTCTATCCCCAGGTAGCCCAGCTGGCCTGTTTTCAACGCTTCCGTAGCAGCCCTGGTATCTATCAATGCGCCGCGGCTGGTATTAATCAGCATGGCACCTTTTTTCATATGTGCAAGTGTTTGTTCATTAATAATATGCCTGGTTTGTTCAGTCAGCGGGCAGTGCAATGAAATCACAGACGACTGTTCCAGCAAATCCAGCAATGGCACAAATGATACGCCTTTTGCCTCCAGTTCCCGGTTGGCTACCAGGTCAAAAGCAAGCACTTTACACCCAAAGCCCAGCATAATATCACAAAAGCATTCACCTATTTTGCCGGTGCCTATTACGCCAATTGTTTTACCAAAGAGATCAAAGCCTGTAAGTTTATCCAGCGAAAAATTTCCTTCGCGTACACGGTTATAAGCTTTATGTGTTTTCCGGTTCAATGTCAGCAGCAGGGCTACAGCATGCTCAGCTACGGCATGCGGAGAGTAGGCAGGCACTCTTACTACCTGTATGTTTTTCTCACTTGCCGCCTGCAGATCAATATTGTTGTACCCGGCACAGCGAAGTGCGATTATTTTTATACCCTGTTCTGCTAATTTACCAATAATGGCAGCATTGATTTTATCATTCACAAACACACATACGCCCTGGCAGCCGTCTACCAGGTTTACAGTTTGCTCATCCAGCGGAGCTTCAAAAAAAACAATATCCTGCGTCGTATTGAAGCGGTTAAAGAACAACCGGTCATATGTTTGTGTGGAGAAGAAGGCGATTTTCATGATATAGTTTTCACTGTAAAGATCGGCAAACAGCCTGCATCAGAACAGAAAACTTGCACAAGTCTTTTTGTCTGTGCTAAAAATATGCCGGGTGCCATGGAGGTAGCCGTACTTATTTCATACCTGGAAGGATACTATTGGAAGAGTCTTGACCAGCGTGATCCTTTAACCATCCGGAGAAAACCAGGCAGTATGCTTGCTATCCCTTTTAAAAAAAATAGCAGTGCAGCCTGCTTTGACCCTGCTGTACCGATTTATACCACGCAACAGCTATGAGCTGCCCGTTATCATTTTGAAAAAATGCTCCGGGATATCAAACCTTACTGCTGCAGCCTCCTCAGTGGCGGCGGTAGCTGCAGTTGCATGCATATTGTTATGGCTTTGTTTGGATCATTTGAAAATACTGTACCCATAAAAAACCGCTTTGAGTACTCAAAGCGGCTGTATAAAAAACTCAAACTGATGTGCAATATTACATATACTTCGTCCAGTTTTTCCACCAGGTGTCGCCTACAGCGCAGGCACCTTTGTAGGTAACCGGGGTAAAAAAGCTGTTGTTTAATTTGGCGTTTGTAAACACAGCGCCGGTAGCTGCAGGAACACCCGCTGCACTGGGGTTAAAGTCTGGTGCTGTATAATTGAACGGTGCTGTTAAACCGGCGTCCATGGTATTGGTAAGAATGCTGTTGCCATAGGCAGCGGTATTAAACCAGGCAGCAATAGAAGCTGTAGTAGCACCTGTGGGCGCTGTGCTGCTGGCACCATATAAAACCGGGGTAGGGCAGCCGGCAATAATGGTGTTTTGCACCAGTAAAGCTCCGGGAATATTGGCGTCTGTAGGGTTTCCTTTTGTAGCATCTATGTACAAGCCATTGGGATAGCCCATAATGATAGAATTAAGGATAGACAGGGTGGAGTTTCTCCTTATTTGTGCTCCCCATGAAAAAAGGCTGTTGCCGGTATTGGTGAGTGTGGCCTTGGGGCCCATTACTGTCATATTGGAGAAAACAGCTGAGGTCTGCGGTGCCAGCACGCTTCCGTTCGCATCGTTGTCGCTTTCAAAAGCTTCGCTTTTAGAAATATCAGCTACCGAAGAATCCCTTAATGAGATACCAAACTGTACCTGGCCTGAGTAGCCATTGTCTGTATCAAAATCATCATCCAGCGTACGGAAAGAAATAAGGTGTTTGCAGTTTACTGTGCCGCCAAACCACTCAAAGCTGTCGTCATTGGCATAAGATACCTGTACATAATCAACAACGGTCTGGTTGCCTACACCGCCGAATGTTAACCCATTGATTTCTTTGTCAGGCAAAAATGCATATCCTGCATATTCTATGCGTACATAACGCAGAATACCGCTGTTGTCTGCCGGGTTCTGGGCCTGGGTGGCGGGAGTACCATATAAACCAAGACCATCGCTGTTATTAATGCCACCTTCAATCTCTCCTACGCCGGCTGTTCCGTTAAAAGAAGCGTTGGTAGGCGCATTGCCCAGCAACACCAATCCGGCCCAATCACCGCGTTTAGGCGTAGCTGCTTCAGACGTAAATACAATGGGCTTATCAGCAGTACCATCGGCAATAATTTTTGAACTGCGGGTAATAATCAGGCCACCGTTTTTGCCATTCTCTCCTACAATTTTTGTTCCCGGCTCAATGGTTAAAATAGCACCGCTGGTTACATATACCAGGCCGCGCAGTTTGTAAGTGTAGGCTGCTTTTAACGTACGGTTGGCTGTAATGCGACCTTCTAAAATGGTATTTTCTTCTGTACCCGGTGTAGTGGGCGTTGTAGTAGTACCTCCGTCAACTTCTACCTTGCGGCAACTGCTGGCAAGTACAAAAACCGCTAAGCCCACTGTAAATAAACGTTTCATATTCTTTTTATTGATTTTTAAAATTTGCTGGATGAATGATTTATTTGAATGTATAGCCAAACGTAAGGCTCACATTGGTACCGTACTGACGGCTGATGGCCAATGCATCCTTCCTGGCACCGTATTTACCATTGGCATCAATGTCGTGATAGAAATTGGCCTTTTGATTAAAGATATCAGACACATTCAGTCTTATTTCTGCCTTATTGTGATAAAGCTTTTTTGCTACCTGGAAGTCAAACAGGGGACGCGGCGCTTCCCATATTTCAGGTACCGCATCGTTTCCAACATAAAGGATACGGCGGCCAATCATGTTGAATAATAAAGTAGTAGTCACCCCAAGCTTCTCCACATCGTACTGCAGGGCAGCGTTCACTACATAAGGCGACTGTCCCTGCATAGGCCTGTCTACATTTACAGTTGAATCTTTTATGCGGTTATAGATATAGGAAAGATTGGTCTGGAAGGTGAAATTGCGGAGTGCCCTTGCAAAGTCAAGCTTTTTGCGGAACTCAAACTCTACGCCATAGCCGGTAGCTTTTTCAACATTAATATAATTGAAGGTGCTGCTGGAACCTGCGCCCGACTGGTTGAAATACTGCTCGATGGGGTTGGCAAAATGCTTATAAAACACGCCCAGTGTAACCAGCTCTCCTGCGCGTGGATATAACTCATAGCGAAGGTCAAAATTGGTGATTTTTGTTCTTTGCAGGCTTTGGTTACCCACTACGGAAGCGCCCAGTTCAAAGTCGTAGAAGGCCAGCGGCGACAGCTCCCTGAACTCCGGACGAACGACTGTCTGTGATGCGCTCAGGCGTATATTGGTTTTGGTGTCCAGTTTAAAAGTAATGTTTAGAGAAGGCAGCAGATCTCCTTTTACGGATCTTACAAACCGGGCATCTGTTTTTTTAGTGCTGCCTACCAACTGGTCAAAATGTTCGTAGCGTGCTCCCCAAACTATGCGCAGCCATTTGTTAAACTGGTTATCGAACTGTAAAAAACCGGCATTTAAAATAGTATTGGCAAGGTAGCGGAACCGATCCTCTGTATACTCATCGAAGAAAAACAGGTTGTTTTGTGTACCGTCGCTGAAATTCGAAGGTGCAAATACCTGGTCTTCGCTCTGCAGGCGCAAAGAAGGGTTATCAGAAGGCAGTGTAACAGAGAAAGGACGTGAGTTGTACAACCTGTCTTTTACCTGGAAGAGGTAGCCCACTTTAACCGTTTGCTTATTGTCAAACAAGGTAAAAGGTGTGGTAAGGTTAGCACCGGCATTGTAGATATAATCAGACAGTGTTGAATAGAAAATGCTGCCGGTTTTCTGGGAAAGGGTAGAACCAATCAGCAGTTCATAGGGATTACTGGCTGAACTGGCATCCTGGTTATACTGTACCCTTCTTTGCTGTGGGATATACTGGTCCAGAATCGTAAAACTGCCGTACCAATCCAGCTTTGTTTTAAAATTACCAGCTTTAATACTGTGCTCTCCGTTTACCTGTGTATTGAAAAAGGTATTGGCGCGGAAACCCAGTTCCCTGGCGCGGATATTTTCACCATTTACCGGGTCAAATTCGTAGTCTTTTCCCGTACGCAGGGTAGTATAGTTGCTGGTATTAACGTTGAGTATATTCCTGAAGGAAATCTTGTTATCGCTGTTCAGTTGAAGAGAAAAATTGGCCAATGCGCCTGCCAGCACGTCCTGCGTGTATTTATTGTTGGAATACAGAAAGCTGGGTTGAAAGTCGGGGTTGCCCCTGTTAATATTCCAGATATTATTCTGAAAAACATTCCTGCGCATGCTGCGGTTATAGGTTAATCCAAGTATTGCACCGAATTTCTTGCCCAGCACTTTGGTATTAAAACCGCCGCTTAACTGTAAAGATTCATTTAAAGGAACGCCGGCTTCTTTAATAGCATTGGGACCAGCTATTTTTTTACCGATGGCTATCTTATCAACATCGGACAATTCTCCAAAACCTTTTTTGGCAGGGGTGCCACCAGGCAATCCGCGGGTACCGTCATCAAATCCCAGCCAATCGTATTTGCCGCCCTGGTAGGTATAAAATTTATTGCCCAGGGTCTGTGTATTGAAACCTGTACCCAGAGAAACATTGAAGAAGCTGGTAGAAGGAATGTCTTTGGTATTTACCTGTATCAAGCCACCGGCCCACTCGCCAGGGTATTCCGGAACAGCGGCTTTGTTGATGATAATATTATCAATCATGGAAGAAGGAATAATATCGAATGAGAAGGCCTTCCTGTCGGGTTCTGTGCTCGACAGCTGAATGCCGTTCAGCATGGCAACATTGTAGCGGTCACTCAGACCGCGCACCACCAGGTATTTTCCTTCCTGGATGCTGGTACCGGGTACGCGTTTCAGTACTTCACCCGTATTCTTATCTGGTGACCGGCGGATAGCTTCTGCGGATACTACTGCCGCCACTGTATTGGTATTCTTTTGAAACTGGATAAGCGAATTAACCGTTTCTTTTCTTGCAGAAGAGCGTGTTCCGGTTACCGTTACACCGGTAAGGCTTTTACCCGCTGGTTCCATCACAATATCAAGATTTGTTACCTGACCTTCTTTTACTTCAATTTCACTGATGGCTTTTAGCGCGTAGCCAACAGCAGAGAAATCTATATCATATTTTTTTCCGGCAGTCAATGTAATGGAGTATTGGCCAGCCTGGTCGGTGGTAGCGCCGCCGCTGGCACCTACTATCTTGATGGTAACGCCTGCCAATGGTTCATTTTTAGCATTCAGGATTTTACCGGCAAGCTTTCCCGTCTGGGCTACGGTGATTAAAACAGACATTAACAGCAAACAAAATAACAGGCTCTTTTTTCTCACGAGTTTGAATGATTGATTTGATGCGGCAAAACTACCCTCGCTATGTTACCGCCCTGTTAATGCAGTATTAACGAATTGTAACCCCAATGTTACCGGAATGTTACGCGGGTGGCTATTAGCGGTCAATAAGCGGCCCTCTGCCCGTAGCTAACGGCTAATAGCTAATAGCTTATATTTGCCGTCCTAAAATTCCCGGATATGTTTAACAAACGGACCAAAGTAAAAGACCTGCTGGCCAGCGAGCAAACCGGTCAGCAAGTAACAGTGATGGGTTGGGTACGCACCTTCCGCAACAACCAGTTTATAGCGCTGAACGATGGCAGTACCAATAATAATATACAGTTGGTGGCAGAACTGGGCAAATTTGACGAGGCTTTGCTGAAACGCATTACTACGGGTGCTTCTTTGAAAGTAACCGGCGAAACCGTAGCCTCTGTAGGCAAGGGACAGAAACTGGAAGTAAAAGCCGGACAGATAGAAATACTGGGCGACTGTGATGCAGAGAAATTCCCCCTGCAGCCCAAAAAGCACAGCTTGGAATTTTTGCGTGAGAAAGCCCACCTGCGCTTTCGTACCAATACTTTCGGCGCAGTGTTCCGCATACGCCATTCACTGGCATTTGCCATTCACCAGTTCTTTAATGAGAAAGGATTTGTGTACCTGCATACCCCCATTGTAACGGCCAGCGATGCAGAAGGTGCCGGTGAAATGTTTAAAGTAACCACCCTGCCTTTTGACGAAACACCCCGAAACGAAGACGGTACAGTAAATTTTAAGGAAGACTTTTTTGGCCGTGCTACCAACCTGACCGTAAGCGGGCAGCTGGAAGGCGAATTAGCGGCTATGGCTTTTAGTGAGATTTATACATTTGGGCCCACTTTCCGTGCAGAAAACTCAAATACTGCCCGCCACCTGGCAGAGTTCTGGATGATAGAACCGGAGATGGCTTTCTGTGACCTGGAAGACAATATGAACCTGGCCGAAGAATTTATAAAATACATTATTAAATATGCCATGGCGCACAACCGCGAAGACCTTGAGTTCCTGGCGCAGCGGCTGGCAGAAGAGGAAAAGGCGCTGCCGCAGGACAAGCGCAGTGAAATGGGCCTGATAGAGAAGCTGGAATTTGTGGTGAACAATAGTTTTGAACGCGTTACTTATACAGAAGCAATAGATATTCTGCGCGAAAGCAATCACAACAAAAAAAAGAAATTCCAGTACCAGGTAGATAAATGGGGCGTGGACCTGCAGAGTGAGCATGAGCGTTACCTTGTGGAAAAACATTTTAAAAAGCCGGTAATCTTAACCAACTATCCCAAAGACATCAAAGCCTTTTACATGCGCCAGAATGATGATGGTAAAACCGTGGCCGCTATGGATATTCTTGCCCCCGGTATTGGTGAAATAGTAGGCGGCTCTCAGCGCGAAGAAAGACTGGACCGGCTGGAAGCAAGAATGGATGAAATGCATATCCCCAAAGAAGAGATGTGGTGGTACCTGGATACCCGCCGTTTTGGTGCGGTGCCGCATGCAGGGTTTGGATTGGGCTTTGAAAGAATGGTGCTGTTTGTAACGGGCATGACCAATATCCGCGATGTAATTGCTTTTCCACGCACGCCAAAGAATGCTGAATTTTAACGGTATTGTCTTGGCAAGGCGTCTTCAGCCGCCAGTATAAATTTTAATAAAAAAAGAGAACAGCAGCGTGTTCTCTTTTTTTATTAATCGCCACAGAACCGTTGCAGTCACGGAAACAACCCGCTACTTCTTATGGCTTTTATTCAACAAACCTAAACACCCAACATCCTTGGCCCGGTGTCTCCCCTGCCACAATAGTTTTATGGAATCCACTTCTGTCTGTATCTCATAAAAACAATTATTCTTCTTCATCCAAACCAGATTTTATGGCAGAAATAAACAGCAATGGCGGCGCAACCCGGCAGAAAGGTGGCGTACGCCGCAGCAAAAAATTATCTACCAAAGTAGATCTAACGCCCATGGTAGACCTGGGTTTTCTATTGATCACTTTTTTGTTTTTACCACTTCCATGAGCAAGCCAAAGAAGATGGATTTGTTTTTGCCGGCGGGGAAACGTGCAACCATGCCCACCGGAAACAGCACGGCACTTACGATCATTCCCATTGCCGGCAATAAAGTCTTTTATTACCATGGTGAACTGGCCACTGCCCTTCAACAAAACCAGTATGGCACCACTTATTTCGCCGGCAAAAACAGTATCGGTGACATTATCAGGCTGAAACAGAATGTACTTGACCAAACGCCAAAGTTTACGAAGAAGGATCTGATGCTAATCATAAAACCCGCGATAGATGCCAGCTATCAAAATGTGGTGGATGCTTTGGATGAAGTGCTGATCAACGATTTAAAACACTACGCGTTTGTAGACCTGGACCCTGCAGAAAAAGAGTTTTTGAAGCGATTGGGTATTAAATAGAAAGGGGCTCATCAAAACCACGCCCGCGCTTTTCGAAGAGGAAGATCGATTATACACAGACAGCTGTGTTGTCGCAGGTTAGTAGCACAGCGCTGTGTTTACAGCCTGTGTATGAAAATGAACTTACTACTCACCCTTCAGGGGGGCGGGGAGTATTGGGCCGGTTACGGGCATAAAAAAATCCCGCCATTCCACTAGCAGGATTTTTTTAAAAATGTATTGGCTCAGAAGAAGATCTTTTGTTGTACAGATGGTCTTGGTTTTCTGAGTAGGATTTTCGGTTTTACAGGGATATGGTGTAAGCTGGTTTACTACAGGATGATTGGGCTATCGGGCTTTCAGGGGATCTAGTGGGGTCTTTTAACGGATACGGATAATCAGGTGCTTCTCAGGATTCGGATGGATCGGGCTTTGCGTGGATTTGGAAGGCTTATTCGAAGGATTTGGATGGGTAAGGTTCTCAGCGGGTTGGATAAGTCTTTTAAGGGATAGGGATGTTCAGGTGTTTCTCAGGATTCGGATGTTTGTGGCTTTCAGCGGATTGGGAAGGATTTTTTCGGAGGAGTTGGATATTTGCGTCTTTCGTGATACAAAGATGCAACACGCATCGTGCCTCTCTAAATTTTTTCGGGTTTTGTAATATTTCCTTCGATAAATGGTGGAAAAAGGAGGATAAAGCCCTAATCCCAACCAACGCTCATACCCCCTAACTCGCTGAAGGGGGAATATATTAAGGTCATTTTCATATTCAGACTGTAAAAAGTGTTTTGTTCTGTTAAATGGGGGAAGGCCGTAGCCTGCGAATAATCGTGCAGGGTCTCCGAATGGCCGGGGCTGTGCGTCAGGATTCCCCCTTCAGGGGGCTAGGGGGGTAAAATTCCTCACCCTTCTAGCTACATCCTTCCTGATATTCAGGTAAAAAATATTGATATCGCCTATATGAAAATTCTTCTTCCTGATTAAAAAGCCTCCGGGGATGTGCAGCTTGCCAATCCATAATACCCCATCATGAATCTGGGCATCGGTTACATGCGTTCTTATTTTATTGAAATTCTGCAGTACGGACCCCTCGTTCAGTGTATTTACCGCATAAGCAGGTTGGGTAGTCCAGGTAAGCGGATTATTCACCAAACAGGACCCTTTTTCCTTTACCACATATTCCGGCTCGTAGTCCTTTTTCAGGGTGCGCCAGGCGCAGATACAGCCCGTTTGCAGAGAGTCATTACAAATTTTTAATGTACTAAACTGTGCAGGTGGAATATACATGCCCAGCACATAGGCTACCACCAGCTGTTTCTGCAGGGGGCTGTTTTCGAAGAATTCTTTCAATAATCTTTGTGCATGCGTACTGCCCTGGCTGTGCGAAGAAATTACGATGGGGCGTCCGCTGTTAAAATGCGCCAGGTAATATTGAAACGCGGTTTTGATATCGTTGTAGGCAGTATCAAAAGCAGCTTTTGCATTAGCAGTATCTGTTGTAAAGTAAGACCGCACGTGGGCTTGCCGGTAGCGTGGCGAAAACACCCGGTAGTTGTTAAAAACGCTGGCCTGGTAGAGTATGGGAGAATAATCCGTCTTTGCATTAATAGCTGCATCATTGATGTCTGCATTCCAGCGCTGGTCGTCCGGATCGGTAAGCGTGGTCGGATATATAAAAAAAACATCGGCACTGGAGTCTACAGCATAGCCATCGCGCAGTGGCCTGGGAACACTGTCTGATGGATCTTTTTTCCAGGGATGCGCCGCCCAGTAAAACAGGTTACTGTAATCGGGCAAAGGGTTGCTGCTGGCCGCACTGCCCTGATAAAGGCTGGTAAACTTTGCGTATTGAGGTGTACACCCGGTAAAAAACAAAATGGAAAAGAATAAGAATAGCTGGTTTTCTAATCTGTACATTTTTTAAAATTACGGTTTCTGCTGTTCACCAGGCGCTGAAAAACTGTTTTCATTTGCTAAATGCAGCAGCGCCGCTTTATCATTACTGTAACGCACAGGGCTGTTTTAGGGTAGAATATTTTTGTACATTTACAGGCTATCTTTTCACCATAAAATTTACCAATATGGGCATACCTGTAGTTAACCTGGCAGATTTCCTGAGTGGCGATCCGCAGTTAAAACAAAAGTTTGTAAACAATTTGGGTAAAGCCTATGAAGATGTAGGCTTTGTAGCAGTAACCAACCATGGTATACCGGAAGAATTGATTGCCGACCTGTACAAATATGTGCAGCAGTTTTTTGCACTGCCGCTTGATAAAAAAAGAAGTTATGAGGTGCCGGGATTGGCAGGCCAGCGCGGGTACACTTCTTTTGGTAAAGAACATGCCAAGGGCAGCGATGCACCGGATCTGAAGGAATTCTACCAGCACGGGCAAATGGTAGAAGATGGCGATCCTATTAAATCAGAATACCCTGACAATGTGATTATCAAAGAAATTCCTGCTTTTACGCCCACTTTAAATAAAACGTACAAAGCTTTTGAAAAATCTGGCAAGGCGCTGCTGCAGGCCATCGCCCTCTACCTGGGGCTGGATGAAAACTATTTTAACGCCCATGTACGCAATGGCAATTCAATACTGAGGGCCATTCACTATCCACCCATTCTTGCAGAACCCAAATCGGCCATCCGTGCAGAACAGCATGAAGATATTAACCTGATTACCCTGCTGGTGGGTGCTTCCGCCGGTGGATTACAGATTCTGACCAAACAAAATGAATGGGTAGAAGCCGTTTCTTTGCCCGACCAGATTGTAGTAAATGTGGGCGATATGCTGCAGCGCCTCACCAATAACAAACTCAAATCCACCACCCACCGCGTAGTGAACCCACCCCGCGAACTTTGGCATACTTCCAGGTTTTCTATTCCTTTTTTCCTGCACCCCCGAAGCGAAATGAGCCTGGCCTGCCTGGAAAGCACCATTGACAAAAACCATCCCAAAGCCTATGAAGATGCCACCGCCGGAGAATACCTGGACGAGCGGTTGCGTGAAATCGGGCTAAAAAAATAACAGCATCTCGTAATTCTATTTAACCCGGCTTTTTGGCCGGGTTTTTTTACGCCACTCATCCTTTTTTTGCGCCGCCGGTACAATGATCTGAAAAATGTTTTAATTGCCTGTTTTCCCGGAAAGCCTTTACTACAGGCATTCTCAGTCAAAGACCGTTATCTTTTTATAAAGATTACCTTCCTTTGGTTGGTACTTTGTGTTGCATAGTACTGAAACTTTTACTATGTTTGTATCGTCAAAGTAGAAAAGAGATAATCCGCCGGAGGCAGGCAGTCAGGAGTACCATTAACCTTATCAAACCTTATCCTTCACCCTGCCTGCCCCCGGCAAATAAATAAAGCGCATATGAATATTGAAAACACACAAAGCCAGATGCGGAAAGGGATACTGGAGTTCTGCATCCTTTCCATCATTCGCCGGGGCGAATCTTACCCCAGTGATATTGTGGAGGAAATGAAGGGGGCCAACCTGAATATTTTTGAGGGCACCCTGTACCCGCTGTTGACCCGGTTGAAGAATGCCGATATGCTTACCTACCGCTGGGTAGAAAGCAATTCCGGGCCGCCCCGCAAGTATTTCTCGCTCACAGAAAAAGGCCAGGTCTTTTACAATGAACTGGAAGCTACCTGGAAAGAACTGGCCAATGCGGTGAATGCCCTGGCCAAGAAAACAGACAGCATGCCCGATACCACTAATCAAAACCCATCCTTCTAACTTCAACCTCAAAACAGCAGTACAATGAAAAAGATCATCAATATAAATTTTCAGGGCCGGGTAATACCCATTGAAGAAACGGCCTACGACACCCTGAAGCAATATGTAGACAGCCTGCGAAGGTATTTTGCCAACGAAGAAGGCCGTGATGAAATTATCAATGATATTGAAAGCCGCATCGCTGAGCTTTTTTCTGAGCGCCTGAAGCGTGGTACAGCCTGTATTACAGACGATGATATCAACGCGGTTATCAGCAGCATTGGCCGCCCGCAGGATTTTGAAGAACAGGATGGCGGAACAGCAGACAACAGCAACACCTACCAGGGCAGCCAGCAGCAAACACAAACCGGACCCGCATCTAATACCGCTTACAACTTTAACAATGTGGGCCGCGGCCGGCTGTACCGCAACGCAGATGACAAAATCCTGGGCGGTGTGTGCAGTGGTCTGGCCAATTACCTGGGCATTGACCCCGTTATTATGCGTATCATTTTTGTGATTTTGATTGGCGGGCTATTCTGGGTGTATATATTATTATGGATTATCGTTCCATCACAGTCTTTGCAAACCAGTATCACCAAGCGCTTGTACCGCAATGCAGATGACCGCGTTTTGGCCGGTGTTTGCGGGGGCCTGGCTACTTACTTTAATATAGAAGTGTGGATACCGCGTCTGATTTTTGCCCTCCCTTTAATCCTGGGTATCGTATCCGGTACCATGAATGCCATCTGGATGAATTGGGATTTTGGCATCGCCCCACGCGTTATCACAGGCTCTTTGGGCAGCACCCTTTTTGTTACTTATATCATCCTTTGGATTGCCGTTCCCTTTGCTTCCACCGCTTCTGAGAAACTGGAAATGCGCGGAGAAAAAGTTGACCTTAATTCTATACGCGACACTGTGAAAGAAGACCTTGAACATTTTAAGACCAAGGCAGAAAAATGGGGACAGGAAGTAAAACAAACGGCCCAGGATTTTGGCACCCGCGCCAGTTCTTTCGGACAAGCCGCCGGTACACAGGCAAGGGGCTTTGCCACAGAAGCTGCGCCTATTGCAAGAAGGGCTGGCAGTGGTATAGGCCATATAATAGGTATACTGTTTAAGGCCTTCTTCCTTTTTATTGCCGCTATTATTGCCATCTCTTTGTTTGCCGTGTTGATTGCCCTCTTGTTTGGCGGTATGGCAGCCTTTCCTTTGAAAAATTTTATTCTGGAAACACCTGGACAAAATTTCCTGGCCTGGGGTACTTTGGTACTGTTCCTTGGTGTACCGCTGGTAGCTTTGGTTACCTGGTTAATCCGCCGCATCATGGGCGTTCGTTCTAAAAACCATTACCTGGGCTATACCTTTTCGGGTCTTTGGCTGGTAGGCCTGTTCTGCTGCATTTTTTTGGTAGGATCTTTTGCACGCAATTTTAAAGTTAGAATGCCCGTAGAAGATAAACTGACCATCAGCAACCCAACTACCGGCAAGTTATATGTAGATATCAACCGGTCTAACCTGGAGTATTATCATGGCGATTGGTTTGGTTTCCGCTTTAACGATGAAATACCCGTATACGGCGCCAATATGGATACGCTGATGGTAAACAGTGTAAGGGTAAAACTGGTAAAAAGCAAAGACAGCAGTTTTCACCTCACCCGGGTAAGATTAAGCCAGGGCAATACCCGTGAACTGGCCGTTAAAACTGCCGAGAAAATTCATTTTGCCATTGACCAGCAGGACAGCCTGCTGAACCTGCCCGAAGGTTTTGCGGTAAGCAGTGCAGATAAATTCAGGAACCAGCAGGTATTACTGATTATCGAGGTACCGGTAGGCAAAAGAATCCAGATGGACGAATCGCTGAATCATTACGACTGGTTCAATATAAATGTAAACAACCGCAGGGGCTGGAACATTGATTTTGACGAATACAATGATCAAAGCTTTTCATGGGAGCCGAACAGGGAATACATTATGACACCAGATGGTTTAAAGAAAGTAAGTGATCTTGATCCGGTAGAATTGAAAAGCGGCCGCTTTAAAATAATTGTTGGCGATGGTGACGATAAAGTGGAGGTTGAAGGTGAATTTGATAATAACAAAGGCCGCTACCGTTACAAACAGCAGGAAGACTCCATAAGGGAAAAAGTAAAAGACAAAATACGCCAGGAATTAAAAGACAGCATAGAAAGGGAAAAGAAGTTGAAAGAAGTTATCAAAGCAAATGCCTTTAACGCAAAAGATAAATTAGATACACCGGAAGAGCCGTTGATCACCGGTCATGTTATTTCGCCGGTATTGATTTTTCTGAAATCCTGAACAGATTGAATGCTTTATGACCCGCATGCCGCTGCACCAACCCATCAGTTGGCAAGCGGGGTTGAAGTTGGAACACAGCCCGTCATTTTTTAATGAGGGGCTTTTTTTATGGTATAAGTTTTAAGGCACAGGGTAGAAGTCGGGCCCATTAAAGGCTGGAATTATGCCGGATAAATGACTGTTTGCCCGCAGTGGCCGGCATGGCCTGGCTGCGCAAATGAACTATGAACTACAGACTAAAGACTATGAACTTTTTCCCCCGCTCTGCCCGGCAATCTTTATTTTTGCTGCCTCTAATACAACAACACCATTCACCATGAAGAATACTCCTTTCACGCAGAAGCACATTGCGCTGGGCGCAAAAATGGCCGAGTTTGCCGGTTATAATATGCCCATCAGTTACACAGGCATTAATGATGAGCATGCCGCCGTGCGCAACAATGCGGGTATTTTTGATGTGAGTCATATGGGAGAATTTATTCTTAAAGGCCCCGATGCGCTGGACCTGATACAGCGCGTTACCACCAACGATGCGTCTAAATTAACTGCGGGCAAAGCACAATATAGCTGCCTGCCCAATGAGACCGGCGGTATTGTCGATGACCTGCTGATTTATTGTGTGGAGGAAAACAAGGTGTACATGATTGTGGTAAACGCATCCAACATTGAAAAAGACTGGAACTGGATAAACAGGTTCAATACAAAAAAAGTGGAGATGCACAATATCTCCGATAAAACCTGCCTGTTGGCCATACAGGGCCCCAATGCCACCAAACTGCTGCAGCCGCTAACGGAGATGGATATCCTGAACCTGAAATACTACACTTTTACCAAAGGTGTTTTTGCGGGGGTGGAAAATGTGCTGGTAAGTGCCACCGGTTATACAGGCGCCGGGGGCGTAGAAATCTATTTTGAAGACAAAGACGGCGATGCCGGTAAAATATGGGATGCCATTTTTGCCGCTGCCGGACCAAAAGGTCTGAAACCAATTGGCCTGGGCGCCAGGGATACCCTAAGGCTGGAAATGGGCTACTGTCTGTATGGCAATGATATTGACGATACTACTTCGCCCTTGGAAGCCGGGCTGGGGTGGATCACCAAATTCAGCAAAGATTTTACCGCCAAGCCCATCCTGGAAGCCCAAAAAGCAGCCGGACCGGAACGCAAACTGGTCGGTTTTGAGATGATAGAAAAAGGCATCCCCCGCCACGATTACGAAATAAAAGATTTCAGCGGTATGACCATTGGAAAAGTAACCTCCGGCACGCAGGCCCCCAGCCTGGGCAAGGGCATTGGCATGGGCTATGTAAGCACCGTTTTTGCCAACCTGGATACCTCTATATATATCAAAGTGCGGGATCGGCTGCTGCAGGCCAAAGTGGTAAAATTTCCCTTCAGCTGATATAATCTGGAAGGATTTTTGCGTTAAAGGAGGAGAAATCCAATCTTTATAATGAAAGCCATGCCAGTTATACACCTCACTACTTTTATTGCCGCTCCCGCAGAACGGGTTTTTGATCTCAGCAGAAGCATCGACGTGCATAAAAAATCGCTGGCCCATACCAACGAACAGGCGGTTGCCGGCACTACTTCCGGTCTTATTAAACAGGATGAAACCGTTACCTGGAAAGCCAAACACCTGGGCAAGATGAGGGTGCTGAAAGTGAAGATCAGCAGCATGAAAATCCCTGAGTCTTTCACAGACGAAATGGTAAGCGGCGATTTTAAAGACATGAAACACGAGCACCATTTTAAACCCATTCAGAATGGTACGCTGATGATTGATCTCTTCACTTTTGAAAGCCCTTATGGCGCAGCTGGTAAGCTGGTCAATTATATCTTCCTGAAACGATATCTCCGCAAGTTGCTCGAACGCCGCAACCAGGCCATCAAAGAATTTGCGGAAACAGATAAATGGAAATTTCTCCTAAACCCCTAACCCCTAAAGGGGGATGTCAATCTCATTAGATTGTTTTTTTTCAGCCGTTTTTTTATTTCTTTTAACCGTAAAAGGATCATTTGCATACCTATTTTGCAGACTGGTTGCCGTGCGTTTTACGCCATTAATCCAGCAATGCTCCGTTGTGCCATCGCCCATACCTTGTAGATCACAGAAAACAATTCATCTAAAAAAATCAAAAAAATGACCCTAAAACTCCCCCTTCAGGGGGTTGGGGGGTATCTTTGCCGCCCATTATGACTACTACAAAACCATCGTTGTATACTTCCTTTTCACCGGCACTTATAAACCTGTACGATCTCAGCAATTCCATTGTGGTTATTATAGATGTGCTGCGGGCTACTTCTACCATCTGCACCGCGCTGTACAATGGCGCCAGGGCTGTCATTCCGGTAGACAGCGTAAGCCGCTGCATAGAAATCAGCAAACAGATACAGGGCATCACTGCCGGCGAAAGAGACGGTAAAATTGCAGAAGGCCTGGAATACGGTAATTCGCCTTTTGAATACCCCCGCGATTTTATTGAAGGCAAAAACCTGGTACTCACCACTACCAACGGCACCAAGCTGCTGCACATGGCGCTGGACAAGGGAGCCAAACAAATCATCACCGGCTCATTCCCCAACCTCAGCGCTGTCTGCGACTACCTGCTGGCACAGAACCTGCCGGTTGTGCTGGGCTGCGCGGCCTGGAAAGACCGGGTGAATATTGAAGACATGCTTTTTGCCGGTGCCGTCATCTGCCAGGTAAAGGAACATTTTGATATCAACTGCGATTCTTCCCAAGTAGCCGAAACCCTGTATGCTACTGCCAAAGAAGACCTGTACGGTTTTATGAAAGCCAAAAACGCCTCTCATTACCATCGCCTGTATAACTATGGTTTAGAAAAAGACATCCGGTATTGCCTCAGCGCCAACCTTGCGCCGGTACTGCCTTTTTACCAGGATGGAAAATTGATTATACAACCACTTCACAATTAATCCACCTTCTTTAAAATCGGGTTGGCTATTGGTCAAAAATCTGTAGTTTCGTCACAAATCAAAGCTCCGTATGAAGTTCATCGTTTCTTCTTCAGCATTATTAAAACATTTACAGCAGATTAGCGGGGTAATCAACGCCAATACCGTGTTGCCCATACTGGAAGATTTTTTGTTCGAAATAGAGAAAAACAAACTCACCATTGTTGCTACCGACCTGGAAACCGTGATGCGCATACAAATGGATATTGAGGCAAAAGACAGTGGAAAAGTATGTATCCCCGGTAAAATATTGCTGGATTCATTAAAGAACATTCCCGACCAGCCCCTTACTTTCAATATCGATAAAAACTTTGGCGTAGAGCTTACCAGCGACAATGGAAAGTACAAGGTGATGGGCGAAAATCCTGACAACTTTCCAAAGGAACCGGCAGCTGATGATACTACTTCTTTTACCATGACCTCCAACGCTTTGGTAACCGGTATCAATAAAACCCTGTTTGCCGTAAGCAATGATGATCTTCGTCCAGCCATGACGGGTGTTTTCTTTGAACTGGATAAAAAATACATCCAGTTTGTTGCTACCGATGCGCACCGCCTGGTAAGGTATAAAAGAACAGATGTGGCCTGCCCCAAGGCAGATTCTTTCATTGTTCCCAAAAAGCCGCTTTCACTGCTGAAAAGCGTATTACCTTTCAATGAAGACGAGATTACCATCAGCTACAACAGCAACCACCTTTTTGTAAAACATGGCAATACCCAGATGAGTTGCCGTCTCATAGATGCCCGCTTCCCGGATTATAAAGTAGTTATCCCTGCAGACAATCCCTATAAACTGATTGTAAATAAAAGCGATTTCCAGGGCGCCCTGCGCCGCGTAGTGGTCTTCAGTAACAAAAGCACCAACCAGGTTGTATTAAATATCCAGGGCAGTGAACTGCAGCTGGCCGCACAGGACGTTGACTTCAGTTTTGAAGGAAATGAAAGAATGAAATGCCAATACGACGGAGAAGACCTGGGCATTGCTTTCAACGCCAAATTCCTGATTGAAATGCTGAGTGGTGCAGACAGCGACGAGGTTAGAATGGAATTGTCTACCCCCACCAAAGCAGGTATCATTAAGCCAACGGAGGCAGAAGAAGGTGAAGAGCTGCTGATGCTGGTGATGCCACTGATGCTTAATAATTAACAGACTTACTCACCTTTACGATAGTCCCGGCTGCAGTTGCAGCCGGGATTTTTTATGCCATAACAGAAAAGCTTTTTTCGCTAAACGCATGCCCGGTGTACAACCACCAGCTTTGTATAAATTTGTAAATAACTATCAGCAGAAAAAATTGGCGGTATGAAGCTCTATATAAAAAACATGGTTTGCAGCCGCTGCAAAATGGCCGTAAGGGCGCTGTTGGAAAGCGAGGGGTTTCATCCTTTAGCTGTGAACCTGGGTGAAGCAGACATTGAAGAAGATCTTTCAAAAGACCAATCGTTGCAGCTGGATGCTTCATTAAAAACGCTGGGGTTTGAACTGATTGATAATAAGAAAAGCCAGACCATTGAAAAGATCAAAAATGCTATTATCACGCTGGTGCACCATTCAGACAATGAGACCAATCTCAATCTTTCTGCATTTATTACTTCAAAAATTCAACAGGATTATAATTACCTGAGCAGCCTGTTCTCAGATGTGGAAGGCACCACCATTGAAAAATATTATATCAACCAGCGCATCGAAAAGGTAAAGGAGCTGCTGGTATACGATGAATTGAGCCTGTCAGAAATTGCCGACCGGTTAAACTATAGCAGTGTGGCCTATCTATCCAACCAGTTCAAAAAAATAACCGGCTTTACACCCAGTTACTTCAGGTCGCTGAAAGAACACAAGCGAAAAAACATAGAAGAACTGTAAATCTTACAAATCATATACGGAATTGCGTAACAGCAGGCCCTGTACGCCCGGGTAACTTTGTGTCAAAACAAATCAACCATGACACATACCTATAAAATTACCGGCATGACCTGCAGCAACTGCGAGGCCAAAGTTAAAAGCAGCTTATTAATGGTGCCGGGCGTTACCCGGGCAGAGGTCTCCAAAGACACGCAATCTGCTACCATCAGCATGGAGAAACATGTTCCGTTAGCCGGTCTTCAGAAAGCACTGCCTGAAAAATACCAGATCTTTGCTATAGAACACAGTGAAACAACCGAACAGGCCAAAAGCTGGCTGGCCACCTATAAACCCATCCTGCTACTTTTTGGGTATATCGGCACACTTGCTGTTTTCGCCGGTTTACAGCACAACACTTTTCATACCATGCAGGCCATGAATATTTTTATGGCGGGGTTTTTCCTGTAGTTTTTCCTTTTTTAAAATGCTTGATCTGAATGGCTTTGCCGACAGTTACGCTATGTATGATATTATTGCGAAAAAATTCCGTGGCTGGGGCTATCTCTATCCCTTTGCAGAATTGCTGCTGGGCCTGGCCTATGCAACCGGCTTTCAGCCCCTGCTGACCAATAGTATCACATTTTTAATAATGACGGTGAGTATTATTGGGGTATTACAAAGCGTGTTAAACAAACAAAAAATCCGCTGTGCCTGCCTGGGGGCTGTTTTTAACCTGCCCATGAGTACAGTAACTATAATAGAAGATGCTTTAATGATAGTAATGAGTGCAGTGATGATATACCTGGTTTTTTAACAGGCAGCACAAAGCTATCCATCCACAGTTTTCGTACATTTACATAGCATAGCATGAGAAAAATAGCCGTCATATTATTACTACTGGTTTACACCGGTGCCACCACAGGGGCTACTATCCACCTGCACTATTGCATGAACCAGTTTGTGGGCAGCAGCCTCTGGCATACCGGCAAAGACAGCAAATGCGGCAAATGCGGTATGAAGGATAAGAAGGATGGCTGCTGTAAAGACGAACACAAACAGGCAAAGCTCACCACCGAACACCAGAAAGCTACCCTTGCCCATCAATTTCAGCTCTTCGAAAATGGTGGCTTGCTGCCAGTTACTGACTTAACCAGTTTTGCCGCAATAAAAAGATCTTCCATACTTCCTGCTGCACATGCACCGCCCATCATTGTCAAAGAACGGCGATACCTGCTGCATAGTGTTTTTTTGATATGAGATAGCACTCCTCCCATTACCAAAGCCATCACCCCTGAGCGTGACTGGCCAGCCCCTATTTATTCTTATCAACTATTAAATTGTAAACAATGAAATCTTCTATATTAATAGCAGCAGTTGCGCTGTTTTTGAGCAACACTGCCACCCCGCAGCTAAGCAATGCGGTTACTGAAACCGTAAAAATATATGGCAATTGCGGGATGTGCGAAACGACGATTGAGAAAGCAGGCAATAAAAAATCTGTAGCTACTGTTGACTGGAACAAAGACAGTAAAATGGCCACCATTACCTTCAACAGCAAAAAAACCAACCTTGGAGCTGTGCTGAAAAGCATAGCTTTAGCGGGATACGATAACCAGGATTTCCTTGCACCCGATGCAGCCTACAATTCGCTGCCCGATTGCTGCAAATACGAAAGAGAAAAAAAAACTGCGGTGAAAGTAGTACCAAAAGAAACGGCCATGCCAGAGATGAACCACCAGGAGCATAAAGAAGCTGCTGGGGTAGTCAACCCGGCGCAGGCAAATCCGTTCCAGGCTATTTATAGCAGTTATTTTGCCATAAAAGATGCGTTGGTAAAAGCAGATGCAGCTGATGCTACCGCAAAGGCCGCCATGCTGGTTGCAGCATTGGACGCTGTAAAAATGGAAACCCTGAAAGCCGGTGAACATACCGTTTGGATGAAGGAACTAAAAGATCTGAAAACCGCTGCCAAACAAATTGCCGGATCAACAACAATAGAAAAACAAAGGGCCTCCTTTGCTGCGCTTTCACCACATGTATATGCGTTGGCAAAAGCATCGGCCCCCATAGAAAAAACATACTACCAAAACTGCCCCATGTACAACGATGGCAAAGGTGCCAACTGGTTAAGCAAAGAAAGCGGTATCAAAAATCCGTATTACGGTGCTATGATGCTCAGCTGCGGCAAAACGGTAGAGGAAATACAATAAAGCCGTGCTGGTAAACTGACGTCCCGTTCCTGCGCATACATCTCCTTACTCCCGGGGTGTATGTACTGTACTATTCACTTCAAAACCTGAAACTTTTCTCATGCATATGCAAACAGGTCTCTGTAAAAAGCAAGTGCTGGTAGCAACGCTTTTTACCTTGCTGGCAGGCAATCTTACTGCACAGAAAATTATCCGTTACGACTTGTATATAAGAGACAGCCTGGTGAATTTTTCGGGCAAAACAAAAAGGGCCATTGCCGTAAACGGGCAGATTCCCATGCCCACCCTAACATTTACAGAAGGCGATACTGCGGAAATTTATGCACATAACGAGTTAAAGGAAACTACTTCTCTTCATTGGCATGGATTGTTCCTGCCCAATAAAGAAGACGGCGTGCCCTGGCTTACACAAACGCCCATTCCACCCGGAGCAACTCACCTGTACCGATTTCCCATCATTCAGCATGGTACCCATTGGTACCATAGCCATTCCGGATTACAGGAGCAAATAGGTATGTACGGCTCCATGATACTCAATCCGCGGACGGCAGACCGTATAAAAAGAGAGGAGATTGAAGGGCTTCCTACTGTTCCTGTAATACTGAGTGAATGGACCGATTACAAACCGGAAAATGTACACCGGATGCTGCACAATGCGTCTGACTGGTTTGCTTTGCGCAAAAATGCTGTGCAAAGTTATGCGGAAGCTATTAAAGCGGGCCATTTCAGCACCAAACTGGCCAACGAGTGGAAACGCATGCTGGCCATGGACGTGAGCGATGTGTATTATGATAAGATACTGATGAACGGGCAGGCGGAATCTGGCATCACAGCCGTTGATGGAAGACCGCTGAAAGCGGGTGATAAACTAAGATTGCGCATCTCTAACGGTGGCGCTTCCTCCTATTTATGGCTTCGTTATGCCGGTGGAAAAATTACGGTGGTGGCCACAGATGGCAATGATGTACGGCCGGTAGCAGTAGACAGGCTACTCATTGCGGTTTCAGAAACCTATGACATAATAGTAAGTATACCTGCAGACAGTACTTCCTATGAATTGCTGGCTACCACAGAAGACCGCACCAATTCAGCTTCGCTGTATATCGGTAATGGTATCAAACAGCTGATTGATCCGATGCCCCGGCTGAAATATTTTGAGGGCATGAAGATGATGAACGGGATGATGAAAATGAATGGCAGACTGGACGATATGGGCATGCGGATGAGCCTGAACCAGATGGACATGAACGTGGTGATGTACCCCGAGATTACAGGCGAAGCGAAAAAGAATGCGCCAATGGAAATGAATAGCGATGCGCAGGTCAGTCAGAATAAATACAACAGCAACGCTCTTTCTGATATCGTTACCCTTAACTACGCCATGCTGCAATCGCCGGAAAAAACAACACTCCCGGAAGCTACTACCCGGGAAATGAAGTTTGAGCTTAGTGGCAATATGAACCGCTATGTATGGAGTATGGACAACAAGGTGGTATCTGAAGCAGACCGGATATTAATTAAAAAAGGAGAGAACCTGAGGCTGATCATCTACAACGGATCCATGATGCGCCACCCCATGCACCTGCACGGGCACGACTTCAGGGTGCTGAATGGACAGGGCTATTACGCTCCCCTGAAAAACACCATTGATATTATGCCCATGGAAACAGATACCCTGGTGTTTAATGCCAATACAGACGGCGACTGGTTTTTTCATTGCCATATCCTCTACCACATGATGAGCGGCATGGGCAGGGTTTTCAGCTATCAAAACCAGGCTCCCAACCCCTTGCTGCCCAACCCAAAACTGGCGCAGCGAAAATTGTTTGCAGATGATCGCATGCCGCATTTTATGGCAGAAAACGATTTTGCCAGCAATGGAAACGATGGCATGGCCATGCTGCAGAATACAAGATGGAGTTTTGGAACGGAATGGCGCCTTGGCTATACCAATCACCATGGCTACGAAACTGAAACACATATCGGCAGGTGGCTGGGAAGGATGCAATGGTTGATGCCTTTTATTGGCTTCGACTGGCGGTACCGGAAAATGGAGCATGGGGAAATAGAAAAAAACCTGTTCGGCCAAACGAATACCAAAGACAACAGGGCCCAGCTGAGCATTGGGGTTGAATATACTTTGCCCATGCTGGTAAAAATTCAGGCAGAGATATACCAGGACGGTAATACCCGTTTGCAATTGATGCGCGAAGACATTCCTGTTGCAAAAAGACTGAGAATGAGTTTTATGGTAAATACAGACAAAGAGTACATGGCCGGGTTCAAATACATTGTCGGCAGAAACTTTGCATTATCGGCACACTACGACAGCGATATGGGCCCCGGTGCAGGCTTTGTTCTAAATTATTAGTCTTTTGTACACGACACCTCATCACAGCCGGGCGGGGGGCGGAAGAATTTCGATCCCCCCGGCTTTTTCAACTCGGTAAAGACAATGAGCCTGCCCTATTCTTTGCTGTTTCTCACCAGCAGGTACCAGTCTTTCTCCAGCGGCAGGTAGCCATAGTCATAGCAAAACAAATACACATTGCCCTTGGCATTGGTATAGCTGTGTGTACTGTATTTAAACTGGAAGCCTTTCTGCAGAAGTTTTTCTTTGGTAGTTTTTGCCATTTTTTCTGTTGGCGGTAACAGCTCCTCCAGTATGCGGCGGTTACGGCGCAGGTAGTTGTTAATACTGCGTACATAGTTACTGTCGCCCGATTTTAACTGGTTATTGTAGGCGTTGCGGCAAGAATCGTCACAGAATTTTTTGTCGGACCGGCCTTTAATGGGCTTGCCGCAGGCCAGGCAGGGTTTGGCTGCTGATTGCTGTATCATTAGACTGGATAAGGTTTGTAGCCAAAAGATACTGAAAGTTTTTATAAGTATAAGCGTTTACAAACGGTTATATCCGTACATAAACGACTAAAAACCGGCTATGCTTTTTTGCAGACCACATCTTTGTCCTGTCAAGCCAATGGCGCCGTTGGTTGATTGAAATACCAAATTTATAACCCGCCCTGGCTGATTTCTGTACCTGGCGGTACGGACGGATGGGGCAAAAAAATTACAACCATGTACGCATTAAAAAACAAAGTTCAGTTGATTGGTCATGTAGGCAATCAGCCCGATATCAGGAACACAGAAAATGGAAAAAAGCTTGCCCGCTTCAGCATAGCCACCAATGAAGTATACCGCAATGCAAAAGGAGACAAGATAACTGAAACCCAGTGGCATAACCTGGTTGCCTGGGGCAAAGTAGCAGAATTGGCAGAAAAATACCTTGGAAAGGGCAGCGAGGTAGCCATAGAGGGCAAGCTCATTAACCGTAATTATACAGATAAGGAGGGCAACAAGAAGTACGTTACCGAAGTACAGGTAAACGAGGTGCTGCTGCTGGGATCTAAATCCGGCACCAAACAATAATCATTTCGCCACGGGCGAAGCAGCCGCAGTTGCATAAACAGTGTTATGGGTAGGTGATTGCTGCGTTGGTTTGCCCGCCTGTGGCGAAATTTTTCTTACCTGTTGCCACAACGTTCTTACAAAGGGAAATATCCGCAAAATACTGTGGTGGTGTCTTATTCTATTGGAATGCTATCGGCCGCAGGGTGGGTATTATATTACAATACACGCCTCAATAAAATCTATTCCATTTCCGGAAAGCACTGGAAGGATGATTAATTTTGAGCAAAGCGGTCACCAGTTGCTTTTGAAAAACAGCTCAGCCAATGCTACAAACAGACGACGATAACATTATATTTAAACTGGCTGCGGATTTCGTAAAAAATACATCGCGCCATATTTTTCTCACCGGCAAGGCCGGAACAGGTAAAACCACATTTCTCAGGCATATTAAAGAGCAGACCGGTAAACAAAGCGTTGTGATAGCGCCTACGGGTGTAGCCGCTATTAATGCCGGCGGGGTTACCATGCATTCCTTTTTCCAATTGCCCTTTGGCCCTTTTATACCCGCTACCAATAGAGGTTTTTCTAATAGCAGTGATTCAGTTGCAGATAAGCACAGTCTTTTCAAGAATATCCGGTTTAATGCAGATAAAAGGGAACTGTTGCAGGAACTGGAGCTGCTGATTATTGACGAAGTAAGTATGGTAAGGGCAGATATGCTGGATGCTATGGATACTATATTACGGCATTTTCGAAAAAAACTGCACCTTCCCTTTGGCGGTGTGCAGGTGCTCTTTATTGGCGATATGTACCAGCTGCCACCGGTAGTGCCTAATAATGAATGGGATATATTGCAGCCATACTATGAAAGCCCGTTTTTCTTCAGTGCCAAAGTGATCCAGGAAGCGCCTCCGCTGTATATTGAACTAAAAAAAATTTACCGGCAAAATGAGCAGCAATTTATAGATGTACTAAACAGGATAAGAAATAATCAGGTAACAGAAGACGATTTTGCCCTGCTCAACCAGCGGTATGCTCCTTCGTTTAGCGCTGCCAGAGAAGATAAATACGTAACGCTCTGCACTCATAATAGAATGGCAGATGCCATCAATACCGGGGAGCTGGAAAAATTACCCGGCAAAATCTTGGTTTTTAACGGGCTTATTGAGGGCGATTTTTCCGAAAAAGCCCTGCCCACAGAAATGTGCCTGCAATTAAAAGAAGGCGCACAGGTAATGTTTATCAAGAATGATTCCGGCGCAGACAGGAAGTTCTTCAACGGAAAACTGGCTACCATTAAAAAAATAGAAACCGATGGAATAACGGTTGTAGACAACAATACCAACGAGGAACTGACATGTGTCAAAGAAACCTGGCGCAATATCCGGTACAACTATGATAAAGAAAGTGACAGCATAAAAGAGGAAGAGCTGGGGAGCTTTACCCAATACCCCATCAGGCTTGCCTGGGCTATTACCATTCACAAAAGCCAGGGCCTCACTTTCGATAAAGCCATTATAGACGCCGGCGCTTCTTTTGCCCCCGGACAGGTGTATGTTGCATTAAGCCGCTGCACGTCATTGAGTGGACTGGTCTTACTTTCAAGACTGTCCGCTGCCGCCATTGCCACCGACAAAAGAGTAATTGCTTTTGCCCGTAAAGAGTCAGACACGCAGGAACTGCAGCAACTGCTGCAGGCTGAACAGCGCCAATTTTGGGCAACCAGACTGGTAAAAAGTTTTGATTATAAAAAGACGGTAGCCATCCTGGAACAGTTCAGGCAGCTGGTGCCTGGGAAGAAATTGCCGGCTATTGAAGCAGCTCTTTCCCTTAGCAATAGCCTGCTCAGCAAAGCCTTGGATCAATCTGTGGTAGCAGAAAAGTTTCAATTGCAGCTGGAACAACTGTTGCAACAGACCTCTGTATCCGGTAATACCGGGCTGCTGGAAGAAAGAGTAAAAAAAGGCATCGACTATTTTGTGAAACTGGCCGGCGAAGAATTGTTGAAGCCGCTGCAGCAGCACATCAGCACCTTACAGCATGCAGTTAAAGTAAAAAAGTATGTAAAGGAACTTGCGGGCCTGGAAGCAAGCCTGGGTCAGCAGTTGAGGAAAATGATACAGGCAAGCTACGGCGACCTTGTTTTTTGCAGTAACCCGGATACTTACAAACAATATACCATTGCAGACCTTCCGCCGGAACCGGATAAACCAATCCTTAAAAACAGCAACATAAAAGGAAGCAGCCAGGCTGAAAGCCTTTCTTTATTCAGAAAAGGAAACAGTATTGCAGCAATAGCTGCCCTCCGCCAACTAACAGAAGGTACTATTGGCGGCCACCTGGCCATGTTTGTAAGAACCGGCGAACTGGACATACTGGAACTAATGACAAAAGACAGACTGGCCGTTATATTACCCGTGGTTAATGAAGCAGGTGGCAATGCAGTAACTCCAATTAAAGAAATACTGGGCGATGATTTCTCCTATGCAGAAATCAGAATGGTATTGAATCATTGTCAATGGATACAGCAGGCAAAAGTTAATGCATAGTTATGCACTATACCCCGCGTGCATTTGTGTATAATTTTTTTTTTACATTACAGTTTATTTGGAATAGTTTATTACTTTTAATTAATACTATTTATTTAATACGTAGTTGTTACATCATTGATGAATGCTTTAATATCAAACACCTTTTTCAAACCTCTTTTTTAAAGCCTGCATGACAACAAAATCAGCTCCCAGCCAGACACTCCGCTTAGTTAGCAATAACGGTTTTGCTGAAGTATGGAAAAATGAGACGAACGGTCAGCAATCTTTGCACGCAACAACTTCTTTTGCCCCCGGCGATGTTATTTGCCCTTTTCATGCCGGAACTGTTTCGGATGTGGTGACTTACCTTACCGTGCAGATTGATGATGACAAACACATTACGCTTCAACCTGAATTTTTACAGTATATCAACCATAGTTGCTCACCTACCGTTTTTTTCGATACCACCCTTATGCAGCTGGTGGCGCTTTCCGAACTACACCCCGGAGATGAGTTTACCTTCTTCTACCCCTCTACAGAATGGGAAATGGTACAGCCTTTTACCTGCTACTGCGGATCGTCCAATTGCCTGGATACCATTGAAGGTGCTTCAAAGATAAAAGACAATTTACTGGACGAGTACAGGCTGACCGATTTTATCAAACGTAAACTGAAAAACAGGCAGCAGTATTAACTGTCCTTTGTTTATGGCATTACCGGAAAGTCTACATAATATTAATCCGCAGCAACGAAAAGTTTGGGTGCTGGCCCCCCATCTTCATACCGGCGATGCTAATGTTGATTACTACTACGATTTTACCCAAAGCATACAGGAATATACCAAAGTTTTTACTGAACTGAATACCGAATGGGTATGGCAGCCGGTTACCATGGCCAATTACAAAGATGTAATTGACATGATAGAAATGGATACTACCCCACAGCCGCCGGTAATACTGAATTTGTGCGATGGCGACGAAATCAACGGCACCCCCGGCATCTCTGTACTGAAATACCTGCACCAGAAGAAAATGATCTACACCGGTGCAAACGAATACTTCTATGATATTACTACCTCAAAGATTGTAATGAAGGAGGCATTTGACAAAGCCGGCATTTCAACCCCCGCCTGGCAGGTAATTGATGAAACCGCTACCGATCTGCAGGGTGTATTCAACCAACTGGGTCAGCCGCTGATTGTGAAACCAGCAGTGTCCGGAGGAAGTATGGGCGTAGGTATTAAATCTGTGGTCAGCAACCAGGAAGAGCTGGCCAATCAATTAAAAATCTTGTTCGATGGATACCGTGGCTGGAGTTTAACGGCCGGCGGCGTAATTGCCGAAGAATACATCAACGGGCCCGAATTCACCACTTTTATTGTGGGGGACGCCGACAAGCCCAACAAAAGCATTTTATATCCCCCGGTGGAGCGTGTTTTTCATCCCGCATTGCCCGATAAAGAGAAATTTCTGTCGTTCGACAGGCTTTGGGAGACCTATGATGAAGAAACACCCCTGCCCAATGATGAACCTTTCTACACTTATCATCACCCCGATAAAAAACTGCACGCCGCCATTACCAAATTGAGCTGGGATGCCTATGTGTCGGTAGGCGGTAAGGGTTATGGAAGGATTGATCTTCGGATGGACAAGATCAACGGAAAATTGTTTGTACTGGAGGTTAATGCCCAGTGCGGTATCAGCGAAGATGAGAACTATACATCCATCGGCGCCATACTGCGTTTATCGGGCAATACTTTCAGCAATATGGTGGCCGCCATTATAGACAATGCTCTGGTAAGAAGAAAAGGAAAAAAACCTGCGCCAAAACCAAAGAAAACAATCGGCAGAAAAGAAAAACAACTCATTAAACAGGGTTAACCGCTTATCTTGCTGTAACCCCACCGGCCACGTTGCAGAACAAGGAACCAGCTTACACCCAACTCTTAATATTTTATTCTTGTTTTATGAAAGTATGCGTGCTGCAACCAGATTATTCTACATCTTCTGTAGATTACAAAAACTATGATCCGCCACGCAATATCGCTTCGCTGCTGCCCAACGATACCGTAGACAATGTCTTCCTGAGCAAGCTGCATACTTATCGCCAGCTGAAAGAATTGAAAAATAAGGGCTATGATATTTTCGTAAACCTTTGTGAAGGTTACCTGGAATGGGACGTGCCTTCCATTGATGTAGTCTATACACTTGAACTGCTGAACCTGCCGCATACCGGTCCCTCTTCTCTATTATACGATCCGCCAAAAGAACTGATGAAATACGTGGCTTACACAGAAGGCGTAGCCACCCCGCCCTATGTACTGGTAGAAAATATGCAGGATGTAGAGACAGCTATTGAGCAACTGCGCTTCCCCCTTTTTGTAAAGCCCGCCAAAGCCGGCGACAGCTTGGGCGTAGATGAGCACTCTTTGGTGAAAAACAAACAGGAATTGAAACAGAAAGTAGCAGAGATCATTAATGAATATGAACAATTGCTGGTGGAAGAATATATCAAAGGCCGCGAGTTTACCGTACTGATAGCCGCTAACCCGGAGAACGAAAAGGAATCCACAGTCTTCAAACCCATAGAATTTGTTTTTCCAAAAGGTAACCAGTTCAAAACCTATGCTCTTAAAACATCTGAACTGCATCCCAACAGCAATATTCCGTGCAAGGATCAAATCATAGATGAGCAGTTGCGGCAATCTGCCCAACGCATTTTCCGCAGTTTTGGTGGCGTAGGCTATGCAAGAATGGACTTCAGAAGAAACGACCAGGGAGAGCTCTTTTTTCTGGAAGTGAATTTTACCTGTTCTGTTTTCTATACAGATGGCTACGAGGGCTCTGCCGATTATATCCTGAAACACGATGGCATTGGCCAGGCCGGCTTCCTGAAACATATCATAGCTGAGGGTATTGCCCGCCATGCCCGGAAGCAGCAAAAATACCAGATGAAGGGCAATGCCATTGCCGGTTTTGGAATCTATGCCAATCGTTTAATAAGGCGTAAAGAACTGGTTTTCAAAGGAGAAGAGAAACCCCAACGTTTGGTTACCCGCCGTTTTGTTGAACAAAACTGGCGCCCCGAAGAAAAAGAAATCTTCCGCCGCTATGCATATCCCGTCAGTAATGAGGTATTTTTGCTGTGGGACGATAACCCGTCAGGCTGGGCTCCTCAAAACCACAGCTGCGAACCCAATACCAGCTACGAAGGGCTGAATATTGTAGCACTTCGTGATATTGAGAAAGGAGAAGAATTAACACTTGATTACGCCTCTTTTCTTGATGACGAACACATGGAGCCTTTTCATTGCCGTTGCGGCACTGCCGCCTGTCGGGGTCTTATTACCGGTAAAGCGCATAATTCGGTTACCGTTCGTGAGCAAGCAATCGCCGGAGCTTAAACGGACTCCTCTATTTCCGGTCATACTAACCCATTAGTTCAATGATGCGTATGTCATGTATTATGGCATGCCTTAAATTTTATTGAATTAAAGTATTGAACCTGGAACCTATGTCACGTTTTGAACTGTTAAAAAAGCTGATTCTTAAACACCGCGGCCAGCTGCTGCTGACCTACCTGTTATTCTCTGTGGAAATGACCGGCACCCTGCTGCGCCCATTCTTCCTGGGTGAGGCTGTAAATGATTTAATGAAGGGAAGTTATCATGGATTGATTATTTTATCTGCCGTACACATTACCTGGCTGATGGTTGGCACCATCCGCCACCGTTTTGATACCCGAACCTATTCTGCTATTTATACCTCGCTGGTCACCCGCTTCCTGGCCAGGCGTTTCGGACAGAAAGACGTTAGCAAACTGAGCGCCCATTCTACCCTGGCCAGAGAATTTGTAGACTTCCTGGAATACGATTTGGTATATGTAATGGAAGCAGTGTATAACCTGGCGGGCTCGCTCATTCTACTGTGCTTCTACGATACTGCTATTGTAACCGTTTGCCTCTCTGTACTGTTGCCGGTTTCTGCCATCAGTTATTTCTATGGCAGAAAAATGAAAAGGCTAAACCGGGTGAAGAACGATGAACTTGAAAAACAGGTAGATATTATTGCTACCGGCAACATCCATATCATCCGCCAGCATTACAACAACCTGCGCAAGTGGCAGATAAAAATATCTGACCAGGAAGCCTGGAATTTTGGCATTATGGAGCTGATGGTGATTGTGGTGATTGGCTTTTCTTTACTGGTGAGCACCAAAGCCCATGTGCCGGCTGTTTTGGTTGGCGACTTAATTGGCATTTACAATTACATCCTTAAGTTTGTTTCCGGCCTGGATACCATACCTTACACTGTGCAGCGGCTGAGTTCACTTACAGATATTACCCGCCGCATAGAGATAGAGGCAGAAGATTTTCCGGAAGATGGTGGTGTAAACCCCATACAGCCAAGACCATTTGAAATTCAAAAGCAACAACGCGCTTCCGCATAGGTTTGGCAAACAACCCTTTTGCAGGTAAACCAGTCTTTAACTGGTAAGCGTATTATAAATTCATAAAAACCAGTCTATGAGCGTTAATTCAAAACATGTAGCCACCTTTTTATTAGGCGCCGCTGCCGCACTTGCTGCACATAAATATATGAGCATGACACCTGAAGAAAAGGAAAAGTTATCGGCAGATCTCAAAGAAAAAGCCAATCAACTAAAAGGAGAAGCAGAAACAGCCATGGAAAAAGGAAAGGAGTATTTTGACGAATTAAAAACAAAAGGCGGCGCTGCCATGAAAGAACATTTTGGTGATGTAAGCGATATGCTGCACAATCTTTTTGGCGGAGGCGGAACTTCGGCGGGAAAAACAGATAATACCGCCAGCGGCACAAAGGCATAAAAATTAACAATAAATAAACCCGGATCTTCATCCGGGTTTTCCATTTTTTGGCTGGATTTCATTTTACATTTGCCTTTTTTACACCTAACACAACAAATTGGAAAATACAGAACATAATTTGCTGGAAACACCGGTTATTAAACTGGTGCCGGCAAGCGTAGCAAAACGGCTCCTGAATTATTTTATCGATCTTTTCATTTTTTCTTTCCTGCTTAGCTTCCTGCTGATGGCCGTAGCACCCGTTTATCCTTTGATGAATAAAATAATGCAGAAACAGCCGCTTGACCTGAGCGATCAGTTTGCTATCTGGTTTGTGTACGGCCTGTTTATGTCAATCATGGAAAGTCTGCTGAAAGGAAAAACAATTGGAAAATACATTACCGGCACCAGGGCAGTAGATGAAAATGGATTTCCGGTAACCAGTCAAACAGCCTTTTTACGCGGAATTATCAGGTTTATTCCTTTTGAACAGATAAGCGCTATCAATATTGGTTTTAACCCCTTTGGACTGCTGCCACCTTATCCATGGCACGACAGGTGGTCCAGATCCGTCGTAGTAGATGAGGGCAAATCAATACTTCCCAAAAACTAACGCTAAGGCAGTTTTTGTGGAAACAATTGCATTCAATAAAAAGCTGTTTGATAATAAGACTAGCCTACTTTTTCTTCTTCGCTTTCAACACCATCGTTTGCTTCTGGTTGCGGAGAACAATTTTTGATGCTGAGCTGGAACCTGGTATTAAGACTTACCTGGTAGTTGCTGCCGGCCAAAAGTGTTTTAATAACATCATCCTGCAGAATAACGGTTGCCAGATCCGGCGCCAGCGGAGAGTTGCTGATAACGTTGGCAACACGGCCATTGGTAAATTCAATGGTAAATTTATACCCGGCTTTGCGTCCTGTGCCTGCCCTTTCAAAGTCAATACGGTTCAGATCAAGGGTTTGATCGCCACTTGCAGAACGTTTCATCAATATTTTAATAATGGGCAGGTACTTAAGCCAGATATGCGTATACATGAAAAAGTTTTTTAAATTTTACTCACTAAACTAATGGGCCTCAACCCACAAAGATGCCTCTTTTTAGCGGCAAAAAAGAATTAAAATTCAAATCGGCACAACAAATATAGACCGCCCTGCACAGCCTCAAGTGCATGCCTGCAAATACCCCAAAACGGCACCGCTCTCCAGTTCTGGGAAAAAAGTCTTCGTTTGGGAGTTTTCCCGTGTTTTTGATTTTCTTATTATTTGATTATCAATCCGCTGCCCGCTGGCATGCCTGTTGGCTATTGTAGATTGTCAATCCAGTATTATGAAAAATGTTTTACTTATCCTTATCGTTGTTTTTCTTTCCTTAAACACCCGGGCGCAGATTATCAGCCGATTTACCTGGGAAAGCAATCCCGCCACTGTTGCCATTGCCGGTCCAAACGCATTGTCAATAAGCGGTTATGCCAGTTCTACCACAGGCGGTAAAAGCGGTACAAAGGGCCTAAATCCCGGCGACGGCAGAAACGATATCAACCTGGTACTGGACGGAAGTGTTTTCAATATTCCTGCCATAGACATTGCTGTAGATTTCAGGCGCGAAGAATCACAGGCCTCTTTTTACAACCGCGACAGTTATTTTGATTTTGGTATGAATGGCAATAGCCTCTCTGTAAATTTCAGGATTGCCAACGGCACAAGCTTCGCCTCAATTAATTCAGGCAATATCTATTCTGTGCCTGATGACCATAGCTTCCACAATTACCGCTTCAATTACGATAATAATGCCGGCCAGGCCAAAGTTTGGGTAGATGGTGTCCTGGTATACACCTACACCGGTACAGCGGGCGCCCCGCTTTATTGGACTGGCGCCGGCAATGTTACCGTGGGTAAAAATATGGATGGCAATGCCAAAAATATTGCTATACTGGACAACTTCATTGTGCAGAAATATGCCAACGCGTTGCTTCCACTAAAACTGTTGGCTTTTACTGCGGAAGCAAAAAACAAGTTTGCCGCAATTAAGTGGACAACCACAGAAGAAATAAACGTAGCAGCTTTTACGGTAGAAAGGTCGTCTAACGGGGCGGCATATACCGCCATCGGATCGGTTGCTGCTGCTAACGGTTACAATAACAGTAATAATTACAATTTTACAGACAGTTTGGCTTTCAGCCCAGCTTCTTACTACCGGCTTAAAATGATAAATAACGATGGCAGCTTTACCTATTCCGCTATAAAAACCGTAAGCTTTGCTGTTACCAACAGCACCGCCATCAGTGTATTTCCCAATCCTGCTTCAGATTACGCTACTATAAAAATGAACAACGCTGTTGCCGGAAAATACCTCTATACCATTTCTTCTGTAACCGGACAAGCTGCTGCGTCCGCCACGATACAATTGGGCAACGGTGTACAGCAAATGCAGATTGATTTAACAAAAATAATGGTGAAGGGCATACTGGTAATACAGGTGCGCAACCTGCAAACAAACGAAAGCAGCTCCTTTTCGGTTATTAAAAAATAAGCGGAGCAAAAAGCCAAATGGGCTTTATCTCCTTCGCTTGCCGGGTTTTGCCGGCACTGGTGCAGGAGGAATAATTTCACTGACTACAGAATCCTGCAGTGGAGGGCGGTTTATATCAAGTTCCACCTTATTCATTTCTTTTTTCAGGATAGCCACCAACTCCTTTTCTACCAGGCTCCTGGCATACAAGGGCGTACAGATGCCCTTTACTGTCAATTTTCCATTGATGGTAATATTACCAATCAGGGCAGTACTGTCCATGTCCGGAAAATTAGAGGCCTTTATAATACTGTAAAAAGGAATAACGCTGTGGAAGGTTGTGACTTTGTAAAAAGGAAACAGCAGGGCTGTAAAATCGATGTTATGAGAGATAGATACGTTTACAAACAAGCGGGACGGATTTCCTGGCAAAGCGGCACTGCTATCGGAAGCCCGGTAAATAGATTCATACAAAGGCGCCATATTGAGGCGCAGATGAACGGGGCTGTCTGGAAAAACATTCCTCAGCAGCGCCGAATCTTTTTTATAGTTGATAAAATAATTGGTGCTGATGCTGTGTTGCGAAAACTGCCCTGGCAATACAAAAAATGCATCACCAATAAGGATCAGGATCAGGCAAATCCATAAAAATATTTTCATTGGACCGGAATTTTAGGCTTTACAATAGCAATCATCAAGAAAGTTACTGAATTCTTCTTACTAATCCCCTCATACAGGCGGCAAGCTATTTACCCTGCACAGCAATGGGTTTTCCACTTTCTTTAATAATGCTGGCAAAAAAATTGATACTCCGCTGAAAATCTTTAATCGGCAACCTTTCATCTATGCCATGAAACCCCTTGCTGTTCATAAGCGGTGTAAAATTAATAACGCCATTGCTGATGGCCCTGTAGTTTCTTGAATCGCTCGCCCCCAGCATCGTATAGGGAACCGGTATCACATCGTCCAGCGTCTGGTAAACGGCTTCTTCCATTATCCTGAAAGCCGGAGATTTAGTATCGGTAAGGGGAGATGGCTCTGTATTGAAATCCCCTTTTATAGTAATCGTAACCCGGTCGTCGTTGATGGCTTTGCTGATAAAATCCTGCACCTGCCGGGTGGTTTCGCCGGTAAGGATGCGGCTGTTTACAATAGCTTTAGCATTGGTAGGTATTACATTTTCCCTGATACCGCTTTCCAAGATAGTGGGCACAATGGTGGTGCGCAGCATGGCTTCCCCTTCCGGTGTATTGGCCAATGTCTGCTGAACGGTGGATGAAAAAAGCCACATATTGGAAAGTGCAGTTCTGTTCAGAAAATTATCTGAAGAACCGCTTACCCGCTGTAAAAATTCTTTTACCGGATCCGTAAGGCGGAAAGGCATTTGCACACTTCTTAATTTAAACAACGCCGTTGCCAGTATATCAATGGCGGTTTCTTTGGCTGGTTTGGAGGAATGACCCCCTGGCTTTTGCACTGCCAACTCAAATGTTACATATCCTTTCTCTGCTACACCAATCATGGCAATGGGGCGCTTCACGTCTTTCATTTTGCCGGTAGTAATTTCTCCTCCCTCATCAATTACCATATCTGCCCTGATTTTTCTTTTCTGCAGGTAATCAACGGTGGCAATGGCGCCCGTACCTGTAGACTCTTCATTGTGGCCAAAACACAGAAGGATAGTTCGTACCGGTTTAAAGCCCATTTTCAGTAAATGCTCTGAGGCTTCCAGTATAGAAATCACTGCCGCCTTGTCGTCTACCGCGCCCCTTCCCCATATAATACTGTCCTTTATTTCTCCGCCAAAAGGCTGTACTGTCCAGAGTTTTACGGCTGAGGGCTCCACAGGTACCACATCGTAATGACCCATAAGTATAATGGGATTTAATGTGCTGTCCGAACCCTTCCATTCATACACATAACTGTAATTTTTTATAATAGTTCTGCTGAGCTGCTGGTGAACCAATGGGTATGACCGCTCTAAAAAAAGACGGAACTGGTTAAAATGTACACTGTCAATGCGCAAAGTATCTTCTGGTGAAACGGTGGCAATGCGGATGGCCTGGCTCATGTGCAGAATAGCCGAATCGGGTAAGGGTTCCAGCACAGCTGCTTTGTGCAGGGGCCAGGGTTTTGCGCGTAAAGTGTTAAACAGCAAAACCGCCACCAGCAGCAGTAAGGCCAGTGCAAGAAAAGAAAACAGTTTTTTAAACATGGGTTGTTGTTGAGGTTACCGGAAGGTACAAATCAAGTTGTAACCTGCCGCACTAAATTATTATCACCGGAATCCTCTTTTCCCCGATGGTTTGCAATATTGTCAGTTTTACCGCAGGGAACAGTTTTTGATACTTTGCGGGAAAACCCTCAACAATGCCAATAGGAATAATAGGAATCTCACTGCTGTTTATGGTACTGGGAATGATTGTTCAGTTCTGGCTGAAAAGTAAGTTCACCGAGTATGGCAGGGTACCCACCTCATCGGGATTAAGCGGTGCTGAAATTGCGCAAAAAATGCTGCGCGACAATGGTATCTATGACGTACAGGTGATTTCAACGCCCGGTTTTCTGAGTGACCATTACGATCCCACAAAGAAAACAGTTAACCTGAGCGAAGAAGTTTACCAGTCCAGAACCGTGGCCGCCGCCGCAGTGGCGGCGCATGAATGTGGTCATGCGGTACAGCACGCCACCGCGTATGCTATGTTGCAATTGCGCAGTACGCTGGTGCCGGCTACACAGATAAGTTCAAAACTTTCTCAATGGGTTATCCTGGCCGGACTGGGCATTTTTGGTTTTGGCGGCGGAAGCCAAACAGTATTGCTGATAGGTATTATTCTGTTTGCCGTTACAACGCTGTTCAGCGTTATAACCCTGCCTGTGGAGTTTGATGCTTCCGCCCGGGCGCTGAAATGGCTGAATACTGCCAATATTACAAGACCAGAAGAGCATGAAAAAGCAAAAGATGCGTTAAAATGGGCGGCGCTTACCTATGTGGTGGCTGCACTGTCTTCCATTGCAATGCTGGCGTATTATATTATGATTTTTAACAGCCGCGACCGTGACTAAGTGGTGTTTTACAGGTGCTGTTTGAAAACGGCGGGTGAAACACCCGCCGTTTTTTTGGCTGGCAAGCGGCGCGTTTTTTAGTTTTTTATCCTGAATTTCTCTCCCGCTACAAACACAGAAAGCTGCACAGATGAGACGGCCAAATCTTTACCGGCAGTTGTATGCACCTGCACCGGCTTCGCAAAAACAATTACCTGGCTTTCGCCCAGCACGGTGGCCCAACCGTTGTCTACCACAATTGCGGTAGCTTCATTAATGCCAATGCAATTATAAAAAGGATACTCCATGATGGCGGAAAGCATCCGGTTGTAGCGGCTGCGTACCACAAAATGCTGATCAATAATAACAGAATCCAGTAGGCCAAGTCCTTCCTTCAATTCAAGGTTGCCCCTACTAAGTCTTTTAAAGGTGGATGCCTGTTCGGTGTCCAGCAAAGCATTGCCGGTGATCATATGCTTGCTCATAACAGAAGCTCCCGCACTGGTACCGGCAATCAGTGCACCGTTTTGCCGGGCTTCACGGATCGCCTGTTTTACGGGGGTATTTTTAATAATCCGCATAAACCGCTCCTGGTCGCCACCACCCAGGAAAATAATTTTTGCTTTTTTTATAGCAGCAATTTTCGCCGGATCAAAGGCTGCAGCCGAATCAAACTTAAGGCAGTCCTCCCCCGTGAGTTTTTTAAAATCTTCGTTCATCCAGATATAAGCACTGTCTCCATAACCGCTGGCCAGTGTTACGGCAGCAATCAGATCGCCTTTTTTCCAATGCGCAGTCGTTAATAACTGCATCCTGAGAGAATCGCTGATATGACCTCCTCCTATAATAAATAATTTGCCGATGGGCACACGGCCGGGCTTGTTTTGCGCCTCAGCCATACTGCCCAATAACAATGTAAGCACAAAGCATAGGTTTCTCATAAGCAGGTTCCGTTTAATCGATTTGTACAACAACATTTATTTACCAACAACAGCTATTGCTGCCAGGTTTACGGGGTAAATATAAATCCAATCTTCCTGTCGTCTGTTTTTTCAGTAACTTTTACACCTGTAAACCACCTTCAACACATGAATAAAAGATCTTTTTTAAAAGGGATGGCACTGGCCGGACTGGCTCCACTATCGGGTAATGCTATGGCCAATTGGGTCAAAAAATTTGACGCCCTGCCTGCTGCTGAACTGGCCGCCAATGAAGATTTCTGGACGGTTATCCGCAATGGTTATAAATTAAAACCCGACTATATTAACCTGGAAAACGGTTATTACAATTTTCTTCCTGAGTCTTTGCTTGAAAACTTTATAACACATGTGCGCGAAGTAAACTACCAGGGTTCGTATTATATGCGCACCGTGCAGTTTGATAACAAAAAAATATTGCTGCGCGATTGGCGGCGCTGGCCGGTTGCGGGGCCGATGAGTTGATCATCACCCGAAATACTACTGAATCGCTTGACATGGTAATAGGGGGCATACACTGGCAGGCCGGCGACGAAGCCGTAATGGCGGAACAAGATTACGGATCAATGCTGGAAATGTTCAGACTGGTAGCTCAAAAACATGGCGTAGTGAATAAGGTTGTTTCTGTGCCCAACCATCCGTCGTCCGACGAGGAACTGGTGAATCTCTATGCCAATGCCATCAGCAGCAAAACAAAGCTTTTGATGATCTCGCATATGATCAATATCACCGGTCATATTCTACCCGTTCGAAAAATTTGCGATATGGCGCATAGCAAGGGGGTAGCTGTAATGGTAGACGGCGCCCATGCTTTTGCACATATTAAATACAAAATATCCGATCTCAACTGCGATTATTATGGTGCCAGCCTGCACAAGTGGCTAAGTACACCGCTGGGTGCCGGTATCTTGTACGTAAAGAAAGGGACAGCCGCCAATGTGTGGCCCCTGCTGGCAGAAGGCGGCAAAGACGATAACGATATCAACCGCTTAAACCATATTGGTACCCACCCGGTACATACTGATTTGGCCATTGCCGATGCCCTTGATCATTACAGTAAAATTGGTGCAGAAAGAAAGGAGGCCAGATTGCGTTTCCTTCAAAACTACTGGACCAGCAAAGTGCGCAGTATCCCCAACGTAGTGGTGAACACGCCTGCAGAAGCAGCCCGCTCCTGCGGCATTGCCAATGTGGGCATTAAAGGAATGAAGCCCGCGGTGCTGGCAGAAACCCTTATGAAAAAATACAAAATCTACACTGTGGCCATTGACTATGCAAATGTGCAGGGTTGCCGTATTACGCCCAACCTGTATACCATGCCCAATGAACTGGAAGTGCTGGTGAAAGCGCTGACCGAGCTGGCTGAAAAATAGATAAGCGTAGTGTTTCAACACAACGGGTATCTATTGTGCTTTTTTGCTGCAGTTTGTATCCGGCTTCGCACTTGCTGTTTGCTTACAGAAATCGGTTCAGGCTTTTTTCCCTTGTTGGTATTTTCACCAACAGGTCTATTCCAGGAGATTATTTCTTCAACGCCTTTTGCAGCACCATCACCTCGTTCATTACAAAAGTGCTGCCGCCGTTGGTTTCAATATTGTAGACCTTTTGCATGCCGCCCGCCTGTTCTGTTTTGTTCCAGACAATAAAGCGCTGGTACCTGCCGGTTTGTTTATCCAGGCAAAGAATGGCTTCTCCTTCTTTTACTTCACCTGATTTTTTCTCTCCGAAGGCTGTTAGTATTGGATGGTTGGGCGTAGCATTTAATTCTTTTGCGGAAAGTTTCACAGCAGTTCCGGCAGCTGTTTGCTGTTCATCAACAGCCAGTAAGACCAGCCGGGTTATAGCATAATTTTGGGCAGCATGCGAAACCAATTCAGTTACTGTAGTTGTTGCGGGCTTTTGCGTAGCAGGATCTATTGTTATGATTTGGTCCCCCTTTTTTATATCGCGCAGCAGTTTCTTACCACCGGCAGCCATAGACACCTGCACATCGCCTGGGAAACAGATATCCATTCCATAAGTACCGGCTTCCCTGGAAATGTCTTTGCCCTGGTTGGCCGCTTTGTACAGCTGGAAGCCCAGTTCGCGCGATAATACATAAGACAGTTTCAGCACAAAATTGGATTCTATCTTATCAATGGCGTGAATGTCTTCAAAATATTTTTCCCATACTTTGGCGCCGGCCCTGAAATTGGGCAGGCAGGCCTTGTACAGCGTTCCTTTTTCATTGGTATAAAAAATCAGCGTTCCAAGTTCCTGCTTGTTTTCCCTTAATAATAAACGGTAGATATCCACCCGCTTTTTCAGGCCGTCATCGCCGGTTATAAAATAGGGTTTGCGGCCTTCATAACGATCCAGTATATAGGTGTTTTCAAATTTTACATAGGTATCGTTGTCCAGGTCTTTTATTGTAAAGGTCTTCGCTTTTTCATATGTTTCCATATTCAACGACGGCAGTTTGGCCGTATCCTGCGCATTCACAGAAATCTGTATTAAAACGAAAAATAAACCAACTAATACTGTTTTCATATTTTGATGATTATGATGCCTGTGAATAATGATAGCGAACAAAGCATACCGAATGAAGCATTTCGCTCTCTTCTTCATTCAGTATTGGGCATTCATTGTTCTGTATTACCAGAATGTTTGCAATTGATTTGCCATCCAGCAGAAATGGAGCGTGTTTTCTTCCTCACGCCTTACACCCTATACCGCTCACCTTTTCCTAAGAGATTTCTTTGAAGGCTGCTGCAAACGCTTCCATTTCATCCATTCTGCCAATGCTTACGCGGCACCATTCTTTGTTATTGAACTGCCAGAAGCGAACGCCTACGCCGCGCTTGCCCATTTCTTCCACAAATTTTTTGCTGTCCATTTTCAGCGGGAACAGCACAAAATTGGCAAAGGAAGGGATATACTCATAGCCTTCTTTTTTCAGCACACTGTAGAGATAGTTTTTGGAAACATTTGTTTTTTGCAGTGTCTCTTTCAGAAAATCGGTATCCTGGTAGCTGGCCATAGCAGCGTGCAAAGACGTGGCGGTAATGGCCATAAAATCGGTTGTGTACAATGTCAATTTTTGTATCATAGCGGGCTGCGCAAAAGCATACCCTACCCTTAGGCCGGCAAAACCATGTAGTTTGGAAAAAGTGCGGGCAACAATAATATTCTTGCCGTTTTTAATGGCTCCCATCATTGTATTGGCTTTTGGATCATCCAGGTAGTCGATATAGGCTTCGTCTACAAAAACCGGTACACGCGCAGAAACCCTGTCGCAAAAAGCTTTCAGTTTTTCAATATCAAGCACTGTAGCGGTGGGGTTATTCGGGTTGCAAACATAGACCATACTGGTATTGCCGTCAACCGCTTTCTCCATCGCATCCAGGTCAAGTTTATAGTCGGCCGTGAGGGGCACCTTTTTCCAGGTGGTATTCAACAGTACCGCCTTGCTGGGCAAATCTTCGTAGCTGGGGTCGCCGCTGATAATATTACTGCCTGGTTTCTGGCTGAATAAGATGGCTGCGGCCAACAGCAATTCTGAAGAGCCCGCGCCCATAATCAGGTGCTCAGGTGTTAAGCCTTCTGTATCGGCAATCTTTTGTACCAGGTCTTTGGCAAACATAAAAGGATACTGGTAGCTCTGCGCCATGGCATCCTGTATAGCCTGTTTGGCTTTTGGCGAAGGGCCAAAAGGATTTTCATTGGCAAACAAACGCGCTTTCAGCTCTACTGGTGCACCAATAATAGCGGATAGATCTGAAACATAATCACTGGCGTAACAGGTGTTGGCGGGCCTTGCAGACAACTTGTTCAGCAATGCGGGGCCAATAGATAATCCGCCGGCCATTAGCAAACCCTTCTTCAGCAGGTTGCGGCGATCCATGGTGGTTGACATATAATATAGTTTTGGTGGTGACAAAAATGGTTTAGGATGTAGGACCAGGGCAAATCCATTCACTTATTGCTGTGCAGTTCTTTTATGTATGGCTGCTACGGTGGCTCTTGCCGATTCAAACGCACCCGCCATCCAGGCATTCAGGTATGTCATATGCTCTCCTGCAAAATACACCTGCTTGTCTGGCTGCAGCAAAGCCTTATAATAGGTTTGCCGCTCTTCGTTTGAGTAAATAGCCCAGCCGCCCATGCTGTACTGCGTCTTGTGCCAGCTTACTGAAAAAGCGTTTTCAAATTCTTTTGTGTACTGCGGATGAATAAGACTGCCCTTAGCCAAAGCCAGCTGCTCTCTTTCTTTTGGCGATAGGTCGCCGGTTCTTTTAGCTTTATCGTTGAAGTTGTAATAGCCCAGCAAAATCCCTTTCTCCGATTGGTAATCATAAGAAGGATAGAAAATCTGCGTGAGTTCATTATTGGTATGTGTGATGCCTCCATATACCTGTTCGTCTTCCTCCCAAAACCGGCGTTTGAACTGCAGCCCGATTTTACCAGTTTGAATATACGTGATATAGTCTATGGCCCTGCTAACGTCAGAAGAAAAATTGTGATCAATATTACTCAATACAGGTAGCGGAATGGTACAAATACATAAATCTGCCTGCAAATTTTGTACCCCGTTGCTGGTTTTATAGCTAACGTCTACCCCGCCTGGATTGTTCTTTACAGCTACCACTTCTGCATTGAACCGGATCATTTTACCCACCTGCTTTTCAAAGGCTTTTGCAATCATATCCATGCCGCCAATAGCCTGGAACATGGTCATTTGTAATTCATAAGTATACTCCGCCACATTGTAGAAATCCGGGTCCAGCAGGCCGGAGCCCAGGATAGCCGCCAGCGGGTGTGCTTCTGAAATGCTACCTGTTTGGTCTCCTGCACCGGGGGCGGTTGTATATCCCCTTCGTGCCGAGGCCTTATAAACCTTATCGATATCCAGTCCGCCTTCCGCTCTTATATATTCCAGGATCTTCTCTCCATCTTCTTTGGTCATGCCCAGATCAAGCTGTTTGTTGTCTACTGCTTTTGCCAGCATTTCCATCATATAACCACGTACATCGTGGTGGATTTCACGGGCGCGGATTTTTTTATTGGACAGCGGCCCCTTTCCTTCGCTGAAATAATAAGCCGATTCGTTTACGTTGTTGTACACCTGCAGTGGTACTTTCAATTCTTTGCAGTAATGAAGCGTCAGCTGGTGGTGGTGCGGAATGCGCGAGGGCCCTGCATTATAA